ACAGAGTGAAGGACTCCCTCTCCCCACCTAGAGGGGAAGGGTATTTATAGGCACTGGCTTACACTCTGGGAGACAGAGGATGCTTTGGGGGAGGGGGTCTGTGACAGAATGTGCCTGTGGGGGGACAGGAACTGACAGGGCACCTCTTTGACCTGAGTGTGTGCTGTCCTGGGGCTTTTTCCATTTACAGCCACAAGCAGACACCACAGCAAAGACTGTCATTTGATACCTATGAATCTGAGCATCGTCCTCAGGAGGGGCTGCCTCTGTTAAATCATCAGGGGTTGAGCTCAGGGACATGTTTGTCTTGTCGCCACTGTGTAATTTGGTTAGTGGGTTTCGCTTGTTTCAGCTGAAATTTGAAGCTTCCATTAGGTGACTAACATTGGCCAGGATTGACTTCCTGTACATTATTTAAAGCTTGTCATATCCTCTGTGCTAACGTCTCTAGCTGGACTTGGGCAGCTGATGACTGATTGGTGAAGGTAGGCTGCTGTGGAGATAGGGCCTTTGAGGCTGGGCCATTCTCTGGTTGAATTTTGAGTTCCCGTGCATATTGTCCCTTTTGGGGCATCAGGATTGTCATGTCATGTGCTTGCAGAGTCACCCAGGAGGATCCCTTCTGGGCCACCTCCCCTCTGCCTGGCCTCAGTCACCCTGTCCACTTCAGGCATCTCCTTGGGGGACCCACTGAACTCAGTGAAATGCTTCATTAAAAACTAGGCTTGGTTGAGGGGCTGGAGCAGACTCAGTGGTACCACTCCTGCAAAGGACCTAAGTTCAGTACCCACGCCACCTAAAACCCCAGCTCCAGGGGATCCTGCAGTCTCTTCTCAGGGCACCTGCATTCGTATGTACAAACTCCCTCAGAAACACATAAAAAAAGCAAACTAAAAGCACAGCTAACCAGAAACTCCCCTTAAACCCTAAGAATGTTGCTTGCTTTTCCTGAAACTGAGAGAAGACAGCCTTTGGGGCTCCAGCTTCCTTCCTTCTGGAGTCTTAGAGGGGACAGTGTATCTGCGGTCTGAGGGAAAGAGTGGAAGCCCCTGAAGTCTGTTTTCGAATCATGACCTTACTTAGAGCCCGGTGACCCTGTGGCAAGCTTTATTGAAATGGGCTGAATGTGTTCAAAGACCCGCTTGTCCAAAGAGTACAACCCAGTGATTTCTGTGCATCTACCAAGTCACCAGCTATAACCACATCTAATTTACAGTACTCTCATCTCCATAGAGAACTCTCTTTACACCCTCCGCCTCCCCATGCCCACCTTACCCTGACAGCCATCCCTCAGATGGAGCTCTGCCTGCTTCCTGTACGTGGAGTCACACAGTCCCCACCTTTGGTCTGTGCCTCTTCTGGTGCCTGTTGGTCCTCTGTGGCTGGACCTGCCTGCCTGAGCTCTGAGGTCCAGCACATGACAAGGACGTCTTTGCTCTCTCCTCTTTGATGCTTCTGGTCACTGGACACTTGTGTGCAGTGTGTCCTGAAGCCTTCAGGGGTGGAACCCTGGTTTGCCATTGTGTGTTAGCTGTTCCATCTCCCTCCACTTGGACTCCAGTGGCCACAGGTTCAGTCTGCCTGCGTGACCCATGTAGGTGCAGCCATGTCCTGTAAGGAGTGAGCCCTGTCCCCTTCTCTGCCCTGCATGAGTCAGAAGTGAGGGCTGGCTTGGCATACCCAGTGACCTTGATTCAAGGGTCTGGTCAGTAACTTACCCAGTAGCTCTTCTGACCTGAGTCAGAAACAACTCTGGTTTCCCCAGTACAGGACTCTCAGGGAGGGTTGTTTGGGGAGGGGACGGAGTGTGGGTAGTTGGCAGATTTAAAATTATCTAAAACCACTCCCCATTTAAAATTGGGTGCATTGTTGGCCTTGAAATGCTGGTGCGCATTTCACTGAAGCTGTGGAGGCAAGTGCACTGGAAAACTGGGCTAGTAGCCATCACACTTGCCAGTGTGTCTCCCTGTTCGTCTTTGAAGAAGGCTCGGAACCTTCCCCGACTCTGGATGGAGCAGAACCAGCCAGGAATTGCCACGAGGGTTGGAGATTTGCGGGGAATGCTTTATACAACGAGCAGCGTGCAGACAGTGCCAATGCTGTCTTCCAGGGAACCCCCATAAGTGAGTTTGGCCTGAATGAGGATCCTTGTTTCTTTACTTTTCATGACTGCTGATGACTGGTGCACTCTCATCAGCCTGAAAACTGTAAGGCAGATTCTTCATGCCGAGGCCACATGTCTCCGGGCTCAGAAGAAACAGATCTGTGGTGGGCCCTCTTCCCTAAGAGGCACCTTGAGATGCTATTTATCTTGAGAAATGGAGATGGCATGGTCCCTGGACTGTGCTCACAAGTACACACAGACACACTTGCCCTGTGGTTGAGGGAAGGTACGAATCTGGTATGTGCTTGGCAGAGGCCTATGTGGTACTGAGGCCATCACTGCACCTGGAGATCTGCCCTTTGTGATCCACAAGGTCTGCCTATAGATCCTTACTCTGGGAGTGCCTGGAAGGCAGCCTCCAGCTTGAACTTTCCTTCCAGAAGAAACAAATCTTGCTAGGTTTGCCGGGGTTTTACACCCACTTTCAGGATAACGGGTGTTCAGGATTGTTCTGAAAGGGTGCAGGGAGGCTAGTGTGTACAGTACCCATCCTGTGCCACAGAGTGATGCAGAAGAGGGCTCGTGGGGACCTCTCCAGCCCTGTTTAAGTGATGAGAGTGGGCAGTGCCACTTGTGTCTTCCCACAGCAAGCCAAAGACGGATGAGAGGCTGGCTTCCTAAGACTCTTTCTGAGCGGAAATGCAGAGTGTCCTTAGGGATAGTGACAGCAGAGAGGTCTCTGGGCAGGGTACCAACCCATTGCCTGTGCTGCACTGGACCAGGGCAGTTGAGACTGACCTCGTAACCCCTGTTCTGCCAGTGAAGCCTGGGGCTTTCTGGGCTGTAGCTCTGGTGGTCCCTTGCTGAGCCCCTGAAGTGGTGACTGACCTCTGTAGGCTCAGGCCCTGCACCCACAGAGCACTTCCTCCTATCCTGGCTCTACAGTGATGTGTCCTAGTATCTTCCTGCTGACTTGTCACCTCCCTGCCAACTTGTTAGTCCCGTCTACTCCCATGGGGCACGTGATGGAGCCTGGATCCTTTACCTTATTCATGGAAGTGCTGTCTGCCTAACTTTTCTCTCAGATTTATTGATCTGTTCTTTTTAGTGCTTTGTTAATTAGTCATGTAAACAAAGTCCTGTGGTTGGTCTAGACCTCCGTTGTCGCTAAGAAGTGTCCGTTTGTTTGAAGTGTCTGTTCTGGTTGGGCCGAACCCTGACAGCCTTCTTACACCCCAAAGGTCTTCTTGCTAACCTGAAACTTGCTGTGATCTGCACTTGGTGGTCTTGCTGTGGTCTGGGCTCCGGTGGTCCGTCTGATTTGGCATCCATCAGAGACAAGTGCTTTCAGGTTTTATTTTAAAAACCCAGGCAGGCAAATGATTCGTGGGAGCGGCTCCAGTTCCTGGCCTTGGTCAGGAAGAGCAGGAATTAATATTTAACTGCCTGTGTTAGCACACTGAGAACAGATCCTGGCCTTCAGTGTCTCGGCCCTCAGCCCGTGCTGCCCTGTGGTTAACCCTTCCCAGGAGAGCTCTCCACAGCTCAGCTTAGAGCTGTCCCCAGTCACTAAGCACAGTGCATCTGTCACAGCTGCCAGGCAGGAGGTGTGTGAGCCAAGATGTGAGAAGTTCCTCAAGGAGAGGCCTTGAAGGAGCCCAGATACCCCAGGAGCTGCATTTGCGTGGTCTCTGTGATTTTCTCCAGGGCTCTTGTTTTATAGACTGGGAGGTGTTTTCACTCCAAACCTTCTCTTCAACTGAAAGTGTTAGCTCCTCTCTAAGTGGGTACCCCCGAGGCCATGGTGTGATTTCAGTCTTCAGAGTCTCCATGGGGGCTCATGGTCAATCCTGAAGCTCAGCCACTGCCTGTGAAGCTCAGTGCAACACTCACCTCTGTGCAGAGGCCTGAGGGGCACCAGGGCAGTTGTCTTCTCCACAAGCAGGGGTGGAGCCCTCCCCGCTTTCCTGGCAGAGGTCTGATGTGTGGCTCTTAACAAGGCCTTGGTTACCATCCCCTGCACTCAACTTTCCCACAAAGCTAGAGGCTCATAGAAAGGAAGGCAGCACAGAAATTATCTCCAACTGGGAGGGGCTGCTGGGCCTTTGTTCTGACTAAGGTAGTAGTACCTGCTGGGCAGCCAGGTCCCTTGTCCCTTAGAGGGTTCAGGGCAGTGGGTATGGTTTAGTTGGAAGCTCTCTTTGAGGAACCAAATCCTGAGATCCTGATGAGGGGGTCTGGGCTTATTGTGGGCGAGACCAGTAACTGCTCTGGGAGTGGCCGTGTTGCATCTGACCCCAGGGCTGGGAAGTTGTCTCCTGTAGCGGTTGTATCCATTCTGTCTGACTCTTGAGGAGCCAGCATGGTGTACTGGGTGACAAATGGGAAGAGCTTCATGGCCTCAGCAAGCAGGTAGCTGAGCAGAGGGACTGGTCATGTAAAAGCACTAGGGAGAGAGCCAGAGAGGATGTAACTGGAACAGAAACATAGGTACCAGCTGCTCAGTAATGCTTTTACTGGCCGTGAACTGGGGGTGGTCCCAGAAGCAGAGGTCGTTCAGGAGGGAGGTGAGTCCCTGACCCTCCTGGTCTTCTGGGCCTGGCACATGTCTCTGTCAGCACCTAGTGTTAGAGTGCATTGGGCCTCTCCCTGAGCAGATGGCCACCCTCTGTGTCAGTATCTGCCTGGGGAGTTGGCTCCAGAACTGAAGCCCCTCACCTGTAGGGGTAAGCCAGTCATGTGTCCAGGCTGTGGGAGGGAACCTGGGAGCCCCATGTGACCTTCCACACCATCAGAATGCACTCAGGTGTGGCCTTCGTGTCAGCAAGATGGCGTCTGTTTCAGTGTGACAGTGTTGGGAGGACGCAGGCACAGGCTGACGATGCTCTTTTCTCAGTGTGCAGGAGAAGAGAACTGGGTGGACAGTCGGACCATCTACGTGGGACACAAGGAGCCCCCTCCGGGCGCAGAGGCCTACATTCCACAGAGATATCCCGACAACAGAATCGTCTCCGCCAAGGTAGCCTCACTTTCTGCCGTGTTTCCGCCTGTGGAGGCTGCCACCCGGGGCAGCACCTTCTGAGTAGCATTGGTACTTCTGAGCAACTGTCCCTAGGGTGTCACTGCTCTCCCAGCAGCCGCGGTGCTCCTGCACTGCTGTCCACTCCTGCAAGGCTGTCACGGGTACTCCGCCAGGCCTCCGCCTCTGAGCCACATCCCAATGCCTCCCCTTACCGTGCATTGCCTGGCCGTGCTGGCAACTAGGCCTGCCAGCCTGCCGGCTCCGTGCAGCAGACAGGGAGGGGGATGTAACCGGATCTCCTCACTCGAGTGAAATGCTCTGTCATCAGCAGGATTCAGGATGAGGTCCACATGGAGAGAATCTTGAGTGTTTGAGCAGGGGGTGTGAGGATTGTGGCTTCACACAAGAGTATGAGGAGCACCTGCCCTCATGAACAGGCGTGTATGTGTGTCTGTAGAGTGTGTGCCTTGCCTATGTTGTACTGAGTTTAGTGTGTGTGTGTGTGTGTGTGTGGCCAAGGTGCAGATATATAAGTCACACCCAGATGTTCTGAGACACAGGTAGGCTTATTTAAGTCACATAAGGCTCCCAAGAAGGAGGTCTGTATCGTCCACAGCCAGGTGTTCTGACACGCATGGCTCTTTGGAGGAGCCAGTGGCATCACAGGTGCCATTGTGCCATGCTGTGAGAGCTGCAGAGTTCTCTTTTGAACTCGAGACCTGTGTTTGTTGAGAGGATTTTATAGGGTTGTTTATTTTGTAACAGCAGTATTAAAAATGCTGTATTTTGTCCAGAAGCATAACATAGGCAAGTAAAATACACTCATAAGGAACCACCACATGAACGTCCCTTGAGCTGACACAGGCTTGATAATGAAGGGACAATGGAAGAGAAACATTCTCCAGAAGCACACCTCCCCACCCCTGTGTTCACAGACTGTACTGACACTCATCAGCTCTCTGAGAAGGTGATTCCTCTGCTAACAGACCTCACCACACCACCGGTGTGTGTGTGTGTGTGTGTGTGTGTGTGTGTGTGTGTGTGTGTGTGTGTCTGTCTGTCTGTCTGTCTGTCTGTCTGTCTGTTCATTCGTATGCATGCTTGTGCACATGTGGGCTCATGCAGTGTATGTCCATGTGTATGTGTATGTGTTTTCCTGCACATGTGGGCTCACACAGTGTGTGTATTGTGTGTCTGCCATAGGTGTGCAGACAGGTTCTATCCAGGCTGTCCAGGATGCCCATGAAGAGCAGAGCAGCCTGACTGAGCTCTCTGAGAGGCTGAGGGGCTCTGTGACTGACAGGAGAGCTCGTGAGCCCTGCCCCCACTCCTTTGCTCTAATCCACTTGGGGCCTGTTGCCCACAGCAACTCTGAGAGGCTTTTTCTTCTCTTTGTGTCCCCGGAGAACAGGAACTACCACAGCCTCCTTGATTTCTGGAAAGGAAATCCACGGGGAGGTTGTGTGGGAATTGCAGGTCCCAGGGGTTTTCAGAGGCAATTTCTCCTAGAGAGACTTCTTCATACCAGGAAGCTTTCGAGCAGGAACAAACAGAATTAAGTCAACACTCTTGGCAGAGAGTGGCCAGAGGGAGGACAGGCCAGGGATTGGCAGAACCGCCTGAGCGTCCTAGCAGGCTCTCAGCATGAGCACCTGTGGCACACCAGTGCCTGTCTCAGTGACAAGGAGCCAGTGATGGTTCAGGGGAAAGTGTGCACTGCCTGCCCCTGTACCAGTCAGATTCAGGGAGGGATTTGGACAGGAGGCGGGGACCTCAGCTGACATTGGGTTTATGCAAACTGAGATGAGCTTATGCAAACTGAGTGCACGTTTATGAGGCATCATTGGGAATTTATAATTGTTTTTGCTTAAGTAACAGCTCAGGTGGGTGGAAAGTGATAATTTCTTCAGCAGGTATACAAAAGGCTTGTAGAATGTGTCTATAGTAATGTGTCTGTGTGTGTAAGGAAATTTTTGTTTCTACCTTAGCAATGCCAAAGAATGCCTCAGAGCCTATCAGTTTGATTAACCAGGGAGCTGTGGCAGTGTTTGCCCCATGAAGAATGAGAGGAAGGCCTTAACTGCCTGCCGTTGTATTAAGCCCCGACCTGTGTGCCATGGATGTCGTTACCAGTAGCTGATTGGAGTTCGCATTTCACCTGTGGGGACTCAGTGTCATGGAAGAAGATGAAAATGACTGCCTTCATGGCTCCCCTGGCCTCTGGTCACACACACACACACCATTTCCCTGTGTCTGGGGAGACTCTTGTATGACTGCCTTCATGGCTCCCCTGGCCTCTGGTCACACACACACACCATTTCCCTGTGTCTGGGGAGACTCTTGTATGACTGCCTTCATGGCTCCCCTGGCCTCTGGTCACACACACACACCATTTCCCTGTGGCTCCCCCTGGCCTCTGGTCACACACACACACACCATTTCCCTGTGTCTGGAGAGACTCTTGTGTGGCGCTGCTCACTGCTCTTTGCAGATTGGTCCTCAGGGCGTGGCATTCACAGGGACCCTCGCTTTGCCTTCAGGAGGTTGCCAAAGTAAATACTGGCTCCCCCAGCATTGCCTGCTCCCCCCAGCCCACACCGGATACGTCCAGGAAAGCTGGGCTACTTTTGGTTATTGTGAAATGATTACCTCTGCCACTTTGGATATAGTTACACAGATGACTTCCATATTTACCGTGTCACTTAAACACTGAACAACCTTCCGTGGCTATAGCTTATTTATGAAGAAACTAAGGCTTAGGGACGGGAATATGTCAGTGGCCACAGGGCAGATAAGTGACCTTCAGCCACTTATCTCTGAGTGTGGAGTTCCTTCTGTGGGGCCATTGTCTCTCCTGACTCTCCCCTAACCCTGTCATGATATACCCTCATCTCTTAACACCGTCAATCCTGCGTAGCATTGAGACTTCCTGTCCTTGGCAGCCCCTTCCCATCCACACAGGCTGATTGCAGGCCAGTATCTGGTTCTGGCGCTTTGTGGGGTACTGTGAGGGCTGGGTCAGCCTGTGGCTGAAGCTCTGGGGCTTTCTTATTTCCTGGCCTCTGACAGAAGAGTTCCTAGTTCCTCCCAGTGTCCCGTTGACTTGTGACAACATGTAGAATAGGTAGAACTTCTGTGAGCCTCCAGGCCAAGAACACAAAGCCAGAGATTGGCACACCCAGGGGAGCAGGAGGCTGTATGGACATGGAACTCACATGCCAGCCGGGGAAGCCACTGCTCAATGCGAGGAGTCAGAGAGGCCAGCAGGCACCCTCCGCTCAGTGTGAACACAGAGACCAGCGGGCACCCTCCGCTCAGTGTGAACACAGACCAGCGGGCACCCTCCGCTCAGTGTGAACACAGAGACCAGCGGGCACCCTCCGCTCAGTGTGAACACAGAGACCAGCGGGCACCCTCCGCTCAGTGTGAACACAGAGACCAGCGGGCACCCTCCGCTCAGTGTGAACACAGAGACCAGCGGGCACCCTCCGCTCAGTGTGAACACAGAGACCAGCGGGCACCCTCCGCTCAGTGTGAACACAGAGACCAGCGGGCACCCTCCGCTCAGTGTGAACACAGAGACCAGCGGGCACCCTCCACTCAGTGTGAACACAGAGACCAGCGGGCACCCTCCGCTCATTGTGAACACAGAGACCAGCGGGCACCCTCCGCTCATTGTGAACACAGAGACCAGCGGGCACCCTCCGCTCATTGTGAACACAGAGACCAGCGGGCACCCTCCACTCAGTGTGAACACAGAGACCAGCGGGCACCCTCCACTCAGTGTGAACACAGAGACCAGCGGGCACCCTCCACTCAGTGGGAACACAGAGGCCAGCAGGCACCCTCCGCTCAGTGTGAACACAGAGACCAGCGGGCACCCTCCGCTCAGTGGGAACACAGAGAGGCCGGCGGACATGCTCTGCTCATGATGAGGAGAGACAGCTCAGCAGGCCCTGGCCCCAAAAGTCTACGTGAGTGGAGAAGCAGGGCTGATTGACTGTCTCTTGGGGTTGCGCATGCCTCAAGGCATCTTCATGGGAGAAAGAGATGCCGTGACCTCCTCATTTTCCCAGCCCCCTTGCAGGTGTAGCAGCCGTTTGATTCCTCCCCTTCATCATTGATAACAGACTTTTCCAAGTTGGGAAACCTTCCACTGCTGATAGGAGAGTGGAGGTAGAACTCGATACCTGAGTGTAGATGACCCTGAGACACCGTGTTCTGGCCACAAGTCCCCACAAGCACGCAGGCTTTTACAGATCAGCAAGATAGAAGATGCGTGACTGACCTGCCGCTATCACGTTACCCGTACCAGCTCTTATATAAAGTGCTCCAGTTATGTGTGTGTGAGACCATGTAGGAGGGTGCACATGTGTGGAGCCATATGTGCACATATGTGCATATGCATGTGAAAGCCATAGGTCAAAGTTGGGTGTCCTCCTTAATGACTCTATACATTTTCCCTCCCTCCCTTCCTAATTGATTAGACTGGCTGGCCAGCAAGCCCCAGGGTCTTCCTGTCTCCATTTTCTTACTGGGGTTGTGACTGAAACTTCTGTGCCCTGTTGTTTGTTGTGTATTGGGGATCTGAACTCTGGTCCTCGTTCATGCATGGTAAGCCTTTTATTGACCAGGCCATCTCCCCAGCACCTTGTTTTATCTGTCACAGAGTTGTCACATGTGTTCATGGACATTTAAATTATCTCACTGGCTTTCTGGTATATGCAGTCAGCAGTAATAACTGATTAGCATTTTGTGAACCATGGGGTTACAAAGCTAATGGTTCACGGCCATGGTAGGATCTTCATAGTGGTAGAGCTGCAGAGCAGTCCTCGTTCTCTGGGACCTGATAGACTCCCAGGGTACTAGAACAGTAACATTCAGGTAGCGCAGGTCCGGACATGCACATGGCCCTCTGCGTGGAAATGCATTGCCCACATCAGGGTCACCTGCTGTGTCCCACTCACCTCCTCCAGGAACACTCCACAGAGCCAGTTCAGCCACACAGTGGCTCAGTCATGAAGACTTTTAATTAGCAGCTACAGCAAAACCCCCGGCTATGACTTTAAAGCCACCCGTGCTTAGTTGTAAAGAGAAGCTTTTTCTTTGAGAGGAGCCTTCCCGCCAGCCTGGTACCAGAGCTGCATCAGTCCCAAATAAACACACAGGAGGCTATATTAGTTATGAAGCTGTTGGCCTTGCTTGTTTCTTACTGGCTAGCTCTGACTTAAGTAATTACCCCATAATTGTTAATCTAAGTATTTCTCTTACCGGAGAGTAGTTCCGGGCTTCCTACCCCATGGCGGTTACATCTCAAACTCTTGTGTTTCTCCTTCCCAGAGTCCTCCTGGACTCCTAGTCCCTCCTATCTAGGTTTCCTATTGGCTCAACAGTACTTTATTGACAAATGCACAGGACTTCCCCCAACACTTAGTGACTGCTACAGCTCGGGTTTCCTTCCGTGATGGCCCGTGTCATAAACCCCAAGCCCTCCTTCACTATCTAGACACACCAGACACCGTGGTCTGTTCCAGATTCTGATCCTTTTCTTCACTCCTAAATAAATCTTTCTTCATTGACTGATAGAGAGAGTATCATTACCAGTGTGTTTGGAAAGAGTCTACCAGAGCTTCCAAACATAAAATACTTGTTTATTTACCCATTATAATATCGGGAATTGAATCCAATGCCTTACACATGCTAGGCAAGAGCTCTGCCCCTGAACCCTGTCCTCAGCCCCACCCCCATTTTTGAATTTTATAAAATAGAAACATTGAAGCGAGTGGTTTGGTTGCCCCATATTGAACTGTGCGCCAACTGGTGCACCTGTCTCTCCCTTTATCCTCTGAGGTCAGGTCATTTTGAAAGAAATCCTGATGCCCAATGATTGTCATTTGTAAATATTTCAATAGAGGAAACATTGGGGTTCCATCAACATGACTTTGTTGCTAGGTAGCATATTACAGAAATTTAGGGATTTTTTTAAACAGGGTCTCTATAAATAGCCCTGGCTGTCCTGGAACTCACTATATAGATCAAGATGGCCTTGAACTCAAGGAGATCTTCCTGATCTTCTGGAATTCTGTGTATGTATGTCTGTGTAGAGAAATGTGCATGAGTGAGTACAGGTACCCATGGGGGCCAAAAGAGGGCATCAGATCCCCTAGAGCTAGAGTTGTAGGCACTTGTGAACAGCACATGGGTGCTGGGACTATTCTGATTAACGAATGTGCAAGTAATGAATCTTGGCTTGGAAATAAGTTTGGCTTTATAAAGCGGGGCTTTAAAATCATTCCATTTGCCTTTAATCCCAGTACTCTGGATGACAGAGCAGGCAGATCTCTGTGAGTTCGAGGCCAGCCTGGTCCACAGGGCGAGTTCCAGGACAGCCAAGGCTATACAGAGAAACCCTGTCAGAAAAACCAAAATTATAACAATAATAATTCCCTTTATATATATAAATCCTATGTTCATCCCAGAAATGTGAGAGAATGAGTACACACAGATACTGCCATTGTAGATGTGTGTCTATAATGCTTCCCTTAGGAAGCTAATGGAAGGTGTGAAGTTTTTTCTTTTTTCTTTTTTTGTGGGGGTGGGGGGTCCAGTTAAGGAGAAACTCATGCTTATCAAAATCTGAAGAGGAGCTGTGTGTGCGATGTTTGTCAGTTCTAGAATTTCAGCCCCCATCATATTGAGTGTCTGCGTTAGCCAGGGCCCTGAGCTTCATCAAGTCCTTCCCAGTATGTGTGTCACACAAGACAAGGACACCAAGACTCTCCTCTGAGGAGAGGGGAGATAGCAGTGTCCATGGGCAGGAAACCCGTGCTGTGAGATGCTGCTCCTATTGACATGACCTGCAGTCTCCCCGGCCCTAACCAGAGTCCCCACCAGCGACTCTGAGGGCCTCCTCTTACCTCTAAACTCATGTGAAAAGGCAAGTACCCTTGGATAGGACAGGAAGGACACTAGAGGGTAGCACTGTTCTCAGTACAGACACCGAGTGGTCAGTTTGGAGACTGTGCAGTGTGGGAGTGCCCTCTCTCCTCACCCTGTAAATACACTGGTAACAGGCAGATGCAGCACCCTGCAGTGTGGACACCATGCCCTGTTATCAGGCAAGCAGCCCTCAGGACGACAGAGGAGAGGTGGGAAGACAGAGGAAGTGTCAGCTCGGAGCAGGAGTTGCTCCAAGTCTGCACTGGGCTCCAGTGAAGAAACGCTCTGTATGCGCGTGCACACTAACTTTTGCCGAGCGCTCTGCTTTCTGCTTTGACTCGATGGGCCAGGCCGTCAGACGTGATTACACTCTGTCTTAGCAGTTTGTCTTAGGGCATTGTATAACACTGACAAAATGTCAATAATGTAAATTCTGGTGAGTTTGTACCTAAAACTGAACATTGTATTTATTCTTTGCACTCCCTCCCTGCTCTTAGGTACTCAGACACCACAGAAAGTGACCCGTTCTTGCTTTTGTCTTGTACAGTACACATTTTGGAACTTCATACCTAAGAACCTGTTTGAACAGTTCAGAAGAATAGCCAACTTTTATTTTCTCATCATCTTCCTGGTGCAGGTAAGGATTGCCCCGGCCCTCTGTCTCAGCAAATGTCACTGGATTCTCAAGAAGTGATATACAGTCATTAAAATCAGCAAGGATGTGACATGCCTCATCTGCCATTCATTCTTGGGTTCTCTGATTCCAGCCCCAAGACGAGACAGGGCAAAGTCTCCAGTCACTCCTCACATCTCCGTTTACTCATTCTCGATTCTCAGGAAATGCATAGCAGATGTACATCCAGAGAGACAGATGCAGGGCGGGGACACGGCGAGGGTGTGGGTGGGGAGCAGCTGGTGGATTGCACTTTGTGGTACGCTTTTCTAAATTATTCCAAGTATGGCTGTAAACAACTGTAAAATCTCTCCAGCATGGACTCTGTCAGAGCAAATCCAAGTGTGAGCCTGCAGCATGACCTAAATGAGCCATTGTACACACAGTCAGACTTGAGCCCTCGCCACGTCCTGACACGGTTTCCTTAAGCACACCCCTTAATTAAGGAGCCTCCCTCAGCATCACAGTCACTAGGACGGGGTGGTGTCCCTCATGTCCAGGTTGCAAGGCAAGGAGGAAGGAGTCGTTAAGTGTCTGGGTGGGAAGAAGCCGTCTGAGGTCGCTAGCAACTGTTTTCAAGGTGACCCCAGGGCTCTCTTGTCCCCACAGTTGATCATCGACACACCCACAAGTCCAGTGACAAGCGGGCTCCCACTCTTCTTCGTCATCACTGTCACAGCCATCAAGCAGGTAAGACTCGCATCACAGGCTGACCTTGCAGTGGGAGGTCCTGCACAACATGATGTATTTCATGTTTTCACAGTTAGATTGGTGTTAGATTTTGAGAGGGTGGCTACAGATGTACGATGCCATTTTTTAAATCAGAAAAGTATATGCTGTCAATTTGACTTATCCTGAGGCTGTCAGTCAGACTTGATTGTCACCCGCCCTGTTTCCTTACGGTGAAGTCCTTTTGCCCCTCCCCTTGACACACTCTGCTTTGGAAGCAAGTGACCGGGCACAGCCCAAAAGTTAAGGAGTCTTGAAGGTATGGTTCATCTCCTTCGTATACGCATATGTAAGTTATTTCAGATTCTTATTCAGGGAATGTTTGCTTAATGCCCATTTACTTTTATTCAGGGGTTTGCTAATATCAATATGGATCTATAGATATTTATCTTAAACTTTGGGCTATAATCAGTAATGCTCCAATGTTTAAATTTTCCTTGCTCCAGCCTTTACCAGTTCATTCAGTTGGCGTCTGAATCCCTTCAGCGTGCCTTCTCATTGGGCTGTTTGTTTATCTTATTTGAGTGTGGGGGGAATTCCCTTCTCCTTTACTGAGCTAACATTAGCCACAAAACAAAGACTGGGACATAATTTAAATGCCTTAAAATTTACCCTTGTGTTTCCTCAAAAGTTTTATGCTAATTTTATGTTCGTTTTAAATATGATGCAATGTATAAACCAAATTGTATGTGTCTTTATTCTGCATTAAGATAGTCAATAACAGTTGAGGAAAAGACCATATTTTCCCCCATTTTAAGGGTTTATATCTGTAACTGATATATCTCTGCTGCTAGGTTTGTTTGTTTGTTTGTTATATACTAGCTTCATTACTGTAGGACTCTGTAGTAAAAAGTTGAAGTTGGGTGTGTAAATGGAAGTTGGGTGTGTAAATGGAAGTTGGGTATGTAAATGGAAGAAGTTGGGTGTGTACATGGAAGAAGTTGGGTGTGTAAATGGACTGTATCTGTAAATGGAACAACACTGTTATTTTGGCCTTCACACTTCCATTTTCACATAAATTTTAGGATCAAATTGTCAGTTTTTAAAAATACTTAATCAAAGAGTTAATCTCACAAGCAGGGAGGCAGGTGCCCATGCTGCCACAAGGAGTCACTCCACTCATGGTGGGCTGTCTGGTTTGTCTCCACTGACTCATAGGAAGTTAAGACTATGGAAAGTTGGTTTTGCTTCAGGCTGAAGTGAAGTGGTTTTGTGCCTCTGAATGGGAAAAGGAAGTAGGTCTGTACATTCTGAGCCAACCAGAGCAATCCAGTGTATTGTCCAGCCTCCAGGACAGCCTCCACCTCTGCTGACCCTTGAAGCAGCCAGTGACTGTGTCTGCAAAAGCTGTCTCAGGGACACACTGTTCTTCCTAACTGTTCTTTTCCAGGGGGCATAATGTTCTCAAGGTTTACCCACACAGTAGCATGTCAGAGCTCTGATCCATGTCATAAATGAGAAATACTCTGGGCCCCCAATAGTTTATCCCACAGCCTGTCTATGGGCATTTGGTACTCAGTTCATCTTAACCCTGCTCAGAGTATTTGTGTACACTGATTTGATCTTTGTTCCTGGTTCTTTATATACTTATATTTATTTTGATTTTTCCCTTTCTCTGGCCTTATGTATTTAATTTCTGGTTAAAATAAATAATAATTGTTTATATTGTGTCTGTGGGATGGAGATGGAGTGATGGATGTGTATCATTAGTTCTTAGGGTGTGTCTACAGGTAGAATTGCTGTAAGCCTCTGAGCAGATGTCTCCCTTCCTGCACAACAGAACACTTTCCCACCAGTGGTCTGCAGGCTCTGCCACTGATACTTGCTGCATCCGGCCCATTGTAGCCATCTCAGTATGTGCCTGGGAGTGCCTTACTCACATGTCCCTGATAGCCTGTGAGGTTGGGGATCTTTCCATGGACCGAGAAGCCATCTGAAAATAGTTAGAGGAGTGTCCTTTGCCTGCTTCGTATGTGCTAGGTCCTTCTGCTACAGAGCACTGGATGATGTGAATTTGCATTTCAGTATTCAGAATCCATTTTTTCCTTTGAGGCATCTGGATAATTTGCAAACTGTCAGCTTCCAAGTAAATTATTTTCCCCAGAAAGAGCAGCATAACCACCCAACAGCAGGTGCTGCAGGTGGCTGACCTCGGGACTCACGCTCTTCTGACAGGTGTGGGAGCAGACGCTGCAGGTGGCTGGCCCTGGGCCTCACATTCTTGTGACAGGTGTGGGAGCAGACGCTGCAGGTGGCTGGCCCTGGGCCTCACATTCTTGTGACAGGTGTGGGAGCAGGTGCTGCAGGTGGCTGACCTCGGGACTCACATTCTTGTGACAGGTGTGGGAGCAGGTGCTGCAGGTGGCTGGCCTGGGCCTCATGTTCTTGTGACAGGTTCAGGAGTCTCCACATTGCCCAGTCTGCTTTCTTACACAACTCAGGACCACCTGCCCAGGTGTGGTGCTGTCCACAGTGATCTGGGCTCTTCTACATCAATTATTAATCAAGAAAATGCCTGACAGAATTGCCTATAGGCCAATCTTTTCTCTTTTTGTGAAATATATATATATATATGTGTATTTTTTGTTTTTTGAAACAATCTTTTTCTTTTACATACCAATCCCAGTGCCCCCTCCCTCCTCTCCTTCTGCTCCTCCCCCTCCCCATACACTAATATTATGTAAGAATTTTCTCAATGACTAGCATATGTTAAGTTGACCAAAAAAACAAAAACAGGACAGAGATCTTATACTTTTAAAAAGTATTTACTTGCTCTTGGTTTCTCTCTCATTGCTCACTTGGTAGTCATCTGGAAATGCAGGTTTGAAACAGTTCCCCTCTGTTTCAAGCCCATTAAGTCATGCTTGAAAGTCTGCGGATCAGGTGAGGTAAGGGTGATTGACGGACACTGTCCGTACCTCTGTGCTGCTGAGCACTGCGAGTCTGTCGTCGCAGAACCCTGAATCCAGGGAGACGTGAGAAAACCCAGGCGAGACCATGTGTAGCCACAATTGCTTTAAACACTTCTCTCTCTGTCTCTGTTTAGGGTTATGAAGACTGGCTTCGCCACAAGGCAGACAATGCCATGAACCAGTGTCCCGTGCATTTCATCCAGCATGGCAAGCTGGTCCGGAAGCAGAGTCGGAAGCTGAGAGTAAGTGGTGTACCCACTGCATCCACCTGGTTCACGGATGTTCTTTGTAGAGTCATTTTCAACTTGGCCCTGTGGTAGGGTAGTCACACCGCCCTCTCTCATTTTGTTGGATACTTGAAGGGTCTAAGTTGTTGGAGCGCTTGCCTTTCTGCCTGTGTGGCCACCTGAAAGCACTTGTGCAGACAGGATGGCTTTCAAACGTGTCTCTGACTTCAGTCATCACCTGACTGTAAATTTGGACTCAGTCTCTTCCTGCCTCTCTTCCTCTTGGTACCCCTCCCATGCCCAAGCCTCCCCTGACTCCACCTCACTCCCTCTTAGGCAGCTCTGCTGTCTGTACTGACCACATCCCCAATTGCAGTCTGCCCCAGCTGGGGAGGTCAGCCAGCCCCCGGATAGGATTAACCTAACTCATCCCAGCCTGACAGCAGTCAGCTGTTGAACCTGAGGTCAGAGGGTGTCCCAGGAAGTGACGGCAGCACCCACATACAGTGGAACAGCACCTTCCAGGGATCACAGACACATACATGTGCTTGCTAGGCTCACCCCACATACGGATCTATTGGCGTGTGGCTATGTATGCGTTTACTTTAAATATGTGTGGTGTACAAATGCCCTTTGGTGTGTCACTGCTTCCGAGAGAGCCTCCTCTGTTAGAGAGATGTTTCTGTGTTTTCACTGGGACAGTCTTTCCTGGTGTGCCCTGCAGCTGCTCTGGTCTTCAGTGGCCCACGGCACCCAGAGAAGCCTTGTTCCAACAGAAAGCCTCTGCGTGGGTCTTTCCTAGAATCATGCCAGCGTCCCATAAGACACTGTGGTGATGTTTTAACACACTCTGAACACAGTAGGAGAATGAATTCCAGTCCAGATTGAGCTGTCACACCAAGGTGGCCTCTCAGTGACCATTCTGTCTGTCTTGCAGGTTGGGGACATTGTCATGGTGAAGGAAGATGAGACCTTTCCCTGTGACCTGATCTTTCTCTCCAGCAACCGGGCAGATGGGACCTGCCATGTCACTACCGCCAGCTTAGATGGAGAGTCGAGCCATAAAGTAACGTGCCTGGGGTGCAGCTAGGGGTCTTCGTGAGACCGGGCTTTGACAACATCCTGGGTGTAGACTAAGCATGTCTATGGTCACGGCTCTCTGGGGGGAGGGAATGCGGGTGTGACGCCCTCTAACTTTTAACCTTACTTTTGCTTTTTCCTATTTTCAGTTGTTTTCTTTCCTCCTGTAATGTTTGTGACAGTCACCATCTGAGGTGGGCAGGTGTACCTGCCACTACCCAATGAGAGACTCAAGTAGATTGTTAGGGTATTAACATTTCCTCTTAGCACAAATGTGTGTCTTTCCTAGTCTAGGACTGTGTGAAAGTCAATCAGAAGTTACAGATTTTATCTGTTATTTCACTGTCTGGTTAAGCATTTTAAGACAATCTTCTGGAACTGTAATTAATGGGTTGAACTCCACATGGAATTCTACAGTAAATGTAAGCATTTTGATAATCATGAGAGGAAAAAATATATAGTTCTGTTAACTTATACATTTGGCTTTTTAACTTAAAAATCTGCGAGGAGGAACTTCTGTGAAGCTATGAAATCTAACATAATGAAACCACTGATGCTTCTGGCAGCTTCTAGGAGCAGTAGAGAGGTATTAGCCCCTAAGATTCTAAAACAGGGTGTACATGATTCCTGCGGGTGCAGGCAGCCCGTGCTGTGAGATGAAATGAGACACATTTTCACGTGATTAGCAAAGGATGTGCCAATCTTTGGGGGTCATCCATGGCACTTTGTAAAGGCTGTGGGAGGTTTCCTATGTTCTAGGTAGTGCTGATAAACAACGGTTGTTTGGGAGGGGCTTCTGGATGACTTGGGTTGTTGTACCTGCACAGGGCTCATGATCTGACCATCCCAAGACCTTCTAAGCAACTCTCCTCTATTAGATAAAGCCTGCGTTGAGAATTTGGAGAAGATTTCTAATCATGTGTGTGGCTTTCACAGATGTAAGGAAGAGCCAAAGGCCCTCATTTGAGGGCAGGACTCACTCCATTCCATGGAAACTGATCGCTCAGACAAAACGGTTCAGTATCTCAACAGGTCTGAGGCGCAGGGTCTCAGCTCTGTTCTGGGCTGCAGCAACAGCTATTGATCTGGAAAATGCTCCATGCTGGCCTCTTGTCTATTCGCACAATGCATTTCATTGTGGTCCCGGTGTCATTTCTGTAGGTTTGGTTTGACTCTGGTGGCTGAAGTTATGTGAACCCTTTCCTTGAAAGACAGACTATGGACAGGCTCCTACCAACCTCAGGGTGTTCACATAATCTCAGCCTGGCCTTCGGCTCTTTCTGTACTTTTTACATCTGTGAAAGGTAGCCATACTGATGATTAGAAATCTCTAAATTCTCAGTGCATAGCAAGTGCTTGAATGATTGGTATAAGTGATGATGTGTAATTACCTGCTCACTTGCTCCAAGTCACACCGCTGTCTCCAGTGCTCATTATTAGAAATATAAGCAGAGAATCAGGGATCCCTTCCTCCTGACTGCCCCTTCTTTCCCCTCCCTCCTCTCCCCTCCTCTGTCCTCCTCCCTGGATAAAGGAGGAAGAATGTTTACCTGTCTGCAGTCTCCATAGTTGCTAGCTAGGCCACGCTCGTAGCCCTGGACAGTCACACAGTGGCCGCTGGTATCTACTTAGAAACGCCATTCTCAGGCGTCCTGCTCAGCCCCGCTATGCTGAAAGGTGTCCTAAAAGCAGTGGCCTAGCAGCCTCCTTCATTCAGATTTGAGGGACCTTCTAGTCCAAGCAGATGGACGGCTGCTTAGAAGCAATGGTAGGAGGACAGTTGGTAGCAGAGTTTGGAAAACGAAACCAGCAGACACTTTCGGCCCCTCCTAGGAACAATAGCACTTTGCCCAAAAGAGGAGGAGCACATCGGCGATTGATAGCTCTTACAGGGCAGGTACATCAAATTTCAGGTTAAGAGAGTCCCAGGCTTGCCCTTTGTCCTGCTGTCTTAAGATGAGGGTGCTGGGAAAGCATGAAGAGTCAGAGCTCTTGTCACCACCAAGCAGAGCAGTAGCAGAGGCTCATCCATCTTTCTATAACCTTTTGAACCTAGGCTCACAATAGGACTTACGGATGTACAAGAAGACCAAGTTCTGGGGTGGATGCCAGCAGCCAGGTGGGGTGGAGCTTTGGGATGTAGCTCACGCTTCCTCTCCATCTGCAGACTCACTACGCAGTGCAGGATACCAAGGGCTTCCACACAGAGGAAGACGTCGATGGGTTGCATGCCACCATCGAGTGTGAACAGCCACAGCCCGACCTCTACAAGTAAGCCAAGCACACTAGCCAGGAGCGTGCCCTGCTGAAAAGTCACCTTTTGGTGCCGTAGCGGGCACTGTGCAGACTGAAGTTTCACAGAAGGAAGCCCAAGTGTTCTTTATTTTGAGGAAGTGATTTGTAACTGAGATAAGGGTCACCGAAGCCATGGGTGAAAAAGTCAGGAAGTAAGACGGGAAGAGATAGAGATGAGTGGCTGGGCCACCACTGGTCATACTGAAGATCAGGATGAGCTAGCTGTGGTGCAGACCGGAGGCCCCCTGGTACTGAGTAACAAAGTGAGCTTTTCTGTTGCCAGGTTTGTGGGGCGCATCAATGTTTACAACGACCTGAACGACCCTGTGGTAAGGTGAGTCTTGTTGGGAGTCCAGACTTTATCCTCTTCATTGTCGTGTTAGATGTTCATTCGCTGATAAGTTCCACCATGCCACTTGGTTTAGAAGGCAGGGCCCTGCGTCATGAGCAAGCTCCACTCTGGGGTTTTGTCTGTTGATGTAATTAATGAAGACCCCTGGAGCCTTGCCCATGGCTACCAGTGGGCCAGGACAGGTCAGAAGCCCACAGGATGGTTCTCAGCGAGGGGAGGGCCCAGACCAACTGAGAGAGACACCTTCATGTGCTGTGACATCACAAGTTTCCGATACAAAGGCCTGAGAGTGCTCAGCCTGGCCATGGCCATCGCTGGGTTGTGATGCTCAGGGTTTCTTTCAGGCCCAACTAGGAAGAGAGGGCCTGCTACTTGTGAGGAAGAGTCGTCCGCTGTGGGCCTCCTGCTCCATGGTCACTGCCTCGATGTCCCTGCACAGTCACGATATCTACTGAGAGAGAGCAGCCCCTTCTGAGCACCTCATGCTGCCATGCCACCTCAGATGTCCCATTAGAGAGCTGTCTGCCTCAGACTGATGGCTGCTGTGTTTGATGAGGAAGCATTCAAGGTTTATTGTTCAGACAATTGGCTTTCAGAGGGTTTTGAAGGTCTTTTCTTTCAGTTTAGGAAATTTCCTAATTATTGATGTTCTGGCATCATTGTATGCTGAAGGAAGCATTTGCTGGGAAATAAAGGTAGACTTCTTGGGGGGAAAGTACCAAAGAATAGACAATCACTGGAGTCTCTGTAGCTGGCTTGTCTCTTGTGGGGCTCGGTCAGCAGCTGCTTTAAAGGGATGGCCTGTGTACTTAGCATGCATTTTTAGTGATTATTTTTTGTTGATGGTACTTATTTTTGAGACTTTATCTTACTGTTAACTAGAAAGGCCTTGAACACCTGACCCTGCAGTCTCCTGAGTGCTGACTCAGTCTGGTGCCACCGTCCCAAATCTTACCCCGGTTTGTGGTCACCATCCGTCAGCAGGTTAGCAGGGCATTAGCTGGGAGGAGTGTGGAGACATAGCTTTTGTTTTCAAAGAAGAGTCCTTAAAACTCTGGAGACTCCAGTGTGGAGAGCGGATGTGTTTAGGATGAAGGAGTAAGTGAGGTGTGTTCGCAGGCTGTTGATGAAACCGGGGGACCCGAGCTTCTCATTGAGCTGAAGCTGTGGCTCCAAACTGGCTCTAGCTCAGCCTTTCAACATCAGGACTTTTTGTTTGCCATTTGCTTTTATCAGTCCCATCCAAATTCCCAGTCCACTCGATTATATTTCTCCTTCAGTCTGTCCACACTAGAAACAAAGTATTTTGTCAAGTCCATTATGTTTAGAGCTCTCAGAGACCCGCTTAAAGTGAGGCCGTTTGTGTTCATTAACATTTGTGACTTGAATTATTGGAAGCAATTTGCTAACAGAGGCTGACAGCCCTGGACAGCCTGGGGAGCTGGTGGCTGTCAGACTTAAAGAGCCACTAGTTGCCTGCCAGCCACCTCGATGAGGTACCCGAGCAGCTTGCAGCCCCTTCCTCCCCTTCCTCCTGCAGGGTACCGTCTGCACCATGTTGGCCAAACACACCGACCCCACTAAGGGTGTAATATTCTGTGCATTCACATCTGCCCAAAAGGACAGAAAGTAAGAAAGTAAATTACAGGCAAATGGGCTTCTCTCTGACACACCATGGTCATGGGATGTAGCAGTAGGATTCACACATTTAGTTCTGCTGCTTTGAATTCCTTTCACTGCTCAGAAGAAAGGCTGACAGCTGCTTCCCGCATGCTGCACTTACACTACGGAGGCCCCAGAGGCCCAGCCTCCCCCTTCACACTAAAAACGTGTCTTAAGGATGGAAGAGGAGCAGCTGAAGGATGAGTGAGATACAAGGTTTTAGCCTTTTCACAACATTTTGAGGTCCCCTAGCACAGCCACCCCCACATTGGAGCTGTGTTGGGACAGGGTTGCTGGCCCGCCTTCAGGCCTCTTTTGTAGTAGGTCTAAGTGACATTTTCAATGCCCCTGGGTATTGCGGGTGGTGCAGGTAGGGACCCCATCTGAAGACTCTGCCTGTGGCTTCTGTGGAAGTGTCACATTCAGGCTCCTGGTTATTTGAGGTTGATGCCCTGCTTCCTTGAGGCCTTTCAAATGTCTCTGGAAGCTCCAGGCCCCTGTGAGTGAAAGTCCAGGAAGACAGGACTAGATACAGTCCAGCAGGCTGTGTCTCCACCTCAGAGAAGCCCAGTGCTTATGCAGAATGACCTTGGTACTCTCAGTGCAAGCAGATGTACACTTATACCGCCCCTTCTTAGGATGATTGAGTTGATTTTCAGTCTCGAGTCATGCTGCTTCTGGTCTCCTTGTCTTCCAGGCCATTGGGATCAGAAAACCTGCTTCTCAGAGGCGCCACACTCAAAAACACAGAGAAGATCTTTGGTAAATACTTTAATTTGCAAAGCACTGGTAATCATTCTAAAATGTAGGACACTAAGCAAACTAAACTCCACAGCACCCAAGAGGCCACTGGGTGTCTTATAGTACTTTGACTTGGTGCCGGGCGACTTGCTAAGAGATGAGTGAGTGGTGTAACCTGAACTCACAGCAATGGCAGTGACGATCATGGCTTGCTTGTTAGGACCTTGGTTCATGACTCAGGAAGATGAAGCTGTATCCAGGGAGACATTCACAAAGCATTGTAAAGCGGGAGAGTTTACTAAGTCTGCTTGTCACAGTGTTGTGTTTCCTGTTTTAATTTACAGAAATAACTTTAAAATATACACTGTGCCCCACTACCAGATCACCCATTAGATTAGATTAATGTTAGATTTGAACTGAAGAATATAAAGTGCAGATTAGATCCACACAGGAAAAGTCCTGGGTATGAGGACTCCACTCACTCTCTGGGTAAGTTGGAGATGTGATCTGTCTGTGTGAGCATCCTTCTCTCTAGCCTATGGACGTTTCACAGACTCTTCTGCTTCCAGGTGTGGCCATCTACACGGGCATGGAGACCAAGATGGCCCTGAACTATCAGTCCAAGTCCCAAAAGAGATCTGCTGTGGAAAAGTAAGGCTTGTTGTTACCTTCTAGTCATCGCTGGCCCCTGAATGGGTGGGCCAGAAGAATCCTCAGGGGCCTACAGCGTCCTTGGGGGAACCACAGTGTCCTCGGGTGTCCATAGTATCCTCGGGAGGGCCCACAGCATCCTTGGGGGGGGCACAGAATCCTCTGAGGCTCACAGTGTCCTCGGGGGGCCTACAGCATCTTAGGGGGAACCACAGCATCCTCAGGGGACCGGTGGGCCTCAGGATCCGTGGGGGGCCCACAGTGCCCTGGGGCCCACTCCTCCAGGGACTGGAGCTGCTGGCCACAGAGCCCATTACTCGGGGTATTTGCTTGCTTTCTTCCCAGTGAGATAAATGACTGCACCCCTATCTCTGCTAACATGCTACCTCTAAGTCATTCCCCAAAGTTCTAATTTTAGATCAGTCACAGATGCTTCATATCCCAGCCACTGATCCAGGCAAGCCTCAAAGGGGGGGCAGTCTCTTATTCAGCCCCTTCCAACCTGGGGATTTGGTGGGAACCAAGTGTGTCCTGATGTGGTTTAACTGAGTCACTGTGAGGAGAGTGAGTATTTTCCATTAGACAGGGAAATGCTGACAACGTCGGGATGGAGGTTAGACTTACGAGGAAGTGGAGTCTGAGGTTTTGTCAACGATATGACAGAGTGAAGCAGCAGGAGCTAGTTAGTTGCCATGTGCAGGACACTGGCGGGTGACCTAGGGTTACCATCCCTGGGCCGATCTGTGACTGTGCTAAGCGTGAAAGTGGAGATGGCTTTTCATCAGCTAGGATGCTCTGCTTGCGATACACAGGCTTCAGAAGCAGACCATGAAACAGCCTCGCCCCAGTTCTGCCTCACCTTGGTCCAGCCCAGGCATTTCCCAGCCCAGGCTTGTCTCTGGCACACTCTCTTCGCCCACTCCACAGTGGGATCACTAAGCTCTCAGCTTGTTTGGTGGCATCTGGTGGCCAAGAAAGCTGACTCTGACTCTTTCTTTTCTGTAAGCAGGGTTCCCATGGTTCAGAGAGGTTTGTCATCCACATGGCAGCACTTACCTTCTCCCTTCCCGTGGCTCTGTACCTTCCCCTCTCCCCGTGGCTCTGTACCTTCCCCCTTCCCGTGGCTCTGTACCTTCCCCTCTCCCCGTGGCTCTGTACCTTCCCCCTTCCCGTGGCTCTGTACCTTCCCCTCTCCCCGTGGCTCTGTACCTTCCCCCCTTCCCGTGGCTCTGTACTTCCCTCTCTTCCCATGGCTCTGTACCTTCTCCCCTTCCCGTGGCTCTGTACCTTCCCCCTTCCCATGGCTCTGTACTTCCCTCTCTTCCCATGGCTCTGTACCTTCTCCCCTTCCCGTGGCTCTGTACCTTCCCCCTTCCCATGGCTCTGTACTTCCCTCTCTTCCCATGGCTCTGTACCTTCTCTTCCCATGGCTCTGTACTTCCCCCTTCCCATGGCTCTGTACCTTCTCTTCCCGTGGCTCTGGTCCGGCATCTTGGGCATTGGCAAAGACATCTCTGAATGAGCTGGTGTTTCCCCTACTGGGTCAGACTGGACACTGCCCTCCAGGGCATTGCTGAGTGCCCTGTGCTGTCCCTTCATGGTGAGGAAGGACGGGGAGTGGCGCCTGAAGGCTGGCTTGTTTTGCCGTAGGTCAATGAATACATTCCTGATTGTGTACCTCTGCATCCTGGTGAGCAAGGCCCTGATCAACACTGTGCTGAAGTATGTGTGGCAGAGTGAGCCCTTCCGAGATGAGCCATGGTACAACCAGAAGACTGAGTCAGAGCGCCAGAGGAATCTGGTATGGAAGCACTTTCCTTGTGTGACAGAGGTGACCCTTAGGCTATTGTCACAAAAGAGATGGTGCCAGGAAACTACAAAGGAGAATTTGCTTCAGGCAGGATGGAGCCTTGCCCAAGCTTAGGACAAAGGACCTCACTGATAGATGGTGTGGGCAGGTGTGAGCAGCCTGCTGTCCTTGGATACCCTGGAAAGTAACCATTTCCACAGAAAGTATGTAAAGCACCAAAATAATTTTGATGTTTCCACAACTCAGCACACCGTTGAGATAAATGCTGCTTCGTGGTAGCTAGAGGACCAAAGCCTTTGGCCTGAGAGCGGGGCCATGTGTGAGCCTAGGCCTGTGTGCACTGAAGTCAGTCAGGGCTGTGTGCAAATGTAGCCCTGTGTATAAGCACGGAGCCTGCGTGATGCTGTGTGCCATCGGTCAGGATCCCACTCCCTGATAGCTTCAAAGGTAGGGATAAATTCCAGAGAAGTCAGCAGAGCTGGGTGTAGCAGCCTGGGCCTGCAGTTCAGGGCAAGGCTGAGACAGGGGTCATGAGTTTGAAGAGAAAGTCATTATATAGCAAGGTCCCATCTCATCATGAGTCTGGGGATTGCTAGTTATGGAGGGACATCATGAATATTGAAAACTGGCCTTCCCATTGGGCCCCACTTAGCATGGCCGCTGCATATCCCTGCCAGTGAGGTTAGTGTGAGCTCCTGGCCCTGTTCCTCCCCATCTCTTCCAGCACAGCATCTAACTCTACTCTTGGTCGTAACAGGACATCACAGTCAGTGGTCCCTGTGGGTCTTTGTGTTTGGGTGGGATACTTGTGTTTACTTATCCGACTGGGGTAAGAGATGGCGAGCTGAGGTTTCCTGTCCTTGCCATGTTACCCGCAGCTTCCTCACGCAGCCAATGCTCTCAGTTTCTCAGGGCCTTCACCGACTTCCTGGCCTTCATGGTCCTCTTCAATTACATCATCCCGGTGTCCATGTATGTCACAGTGGAGATGCAGAAGTTCCTTGGCTCCTACTTCATCACCTGGGATGAAGACATGTTTGATGAGGAGATGGGGGAAGGGCCTCTGGTGAACACGTCTGATCTAAACGAGGAGTTGGGACAGGTCAGTATCTTCTAGAGACTGCATGATCTCTTAGCCCTTCGCAGTCTCCTGTGCCCTAGTGGTCTGGCTTCTCCTTGGTTACTTGGTTCTCCTTGGTTACTGGGAACTCATCCAGGCGGTGCACTCGACGTGGATATGCAGCAGAAGTCACAGTGGAAGTACACGGACAGGCTTTTGTTGTCCCTGAGTGCACCCTTTTTAACGTGTGCAGTAACAGTCAACATGGTTCTTTAGCTTTATTATGTGAAAAACTGATTGCGTTAGATCAATTGGAGTAAGCTCAAATCCCCAGACTTCCTTACTTATTCTGGGCCTTGTAGTTGAATATGTAGCATGGTTGGAGGCCACCCTCCCTGCACTTGCTGGGAAGCATTGCTCTCTTCTTTTACATAAGACATTTAACCTCAAAGCAAGCTAGAGCAAACAGAAACTGAAGGCGGTTTTCTGGGGTGGTGTGTTGCAGAGTTAATGAATGAATGCTCTGCAGAGCCATAGCTCCCTTCGCTCAGGATGGGGATGTCGAGGTCTGAACCCTGAATAAGTAGCAGAGATGGGCATTTCCACATTGATGCGGAATGAGATAACAGATGCCAGGCCAGGGTCACAGCATCGATGGCAGCCATCCATGGGCCTCACCTTGTGAGGACAGGGCTGAAGCCCACCACAGCTGTGGCCCTGTGCTCTGTGTGAGGCCACCAGAGTCCCACAGAGTGGGAGGACTGACATGCCCCCACGTATGCTGCCCGCAGGCTTCAGTGTTGCCGCATGGGAAAGACCCCAGAAAGGCTGGCTCCTTCCATCTCATCCAGCCTCCATTTGGCAAATGACAATTCATTAAATAAATAATCCATTTGAATTGGACACTGCAGCCTGCCCTGACAACAGTCTGTAGACTGGCAGGCACGTGTCCTCCACCTGCCTTGGGGAAAGCATTTGTTACTGGAGAGAGGACACTGTCAAGATTCCAACTTTCTGATGCATTCCTTCAGGGTAGTTCATGGTAGGCCCACCTCCTGTGTGACGCCTGTAGTCTGTTCTTTAGAAATCAGTTAGGAATGTCACGGGGTGGCCTGGGGCAGGACATCTCTCCCAGCCTACAGCCCATCGCAGAATTCAACTACCCTGTCCTGAGCAAGGCGGGCTGGAGCCTGTGCTCAGTGAACTGAGGTCAGGACCAGTGATGACTCCACATAGTAATGGCTTCCCCTGGCTGCTCAATGAATGTGGGTGGGCGATGCCTCTCAGTAATGGACACAGCACAACCAGATGGCAGTTATGTCTGTGACACAGGAACTGCCGACCAGCAAACGTCTGTTCTGAAGCAGAAATGACTGCCTTCCAGGTAGACCTCATTCAGGGGGCTTTGTGCATTTTCCTGTGTGAGCTCCCCATCCCTGTGATATCAGCACCCGCATCCATGTCATGTGGAGGAGAAACTGAGGCTTGAAAGGCTTTCCCAGCTGTTGTGGGAGTCTTGACTACAGTCCCTGCCTGTGACGTGGTGCTCCAGGTTGTGGAGTGAGCAGTGTGGGCCTAGCAAGGCATCTCATGCCTTTGGTCACCACCGTGCTCAATGGGCATGGATGCTGACAAGCAGCAACACCAGAATGATCACTTGACATGATCCAGCGGGACTTATCCTGGTGTGCCAGGATGGGCCAGCACACGCAGTTCAGCAGACAGTGTCCAGGAACGTAAAAGCCAGATGGCCATCATAAGATGCAGAGAGGGTGTGACAAAGTTTGGTGGTAAGTTAGTGGCAGAAGGCGTATCCCAGCACAACACAGGCCGTGTGTAGCAGTGCCACAGCCAGTGACGCACTCCATGGGAAGCAGAGTGACAGTAAGATCAGGAGCAGCAGAGAGCCCCTGCTCTTCCTCAGCTGCTCAGGAAGGTGCTCCGGAAGGACAGGAGAAGAGGAGACGTCCAAGCGGGGAAGAAGAAGGTTAAATTGCTCTCGATTGCAGACAACTGTATAGAACTCTGAAGACCAACAGGAGACTGTTAAAACTAATCCATTCAGTGAAGTTGAAGGGTGTGAGCTCAAACACAAATCCAGGGCCTACCATTAATGTCAGACTCCTGGATGAAAGGCTCTCACAAACCTGTCTAAGATATTCACAACCATGTTTCCTTGGTGTCTCCAGCCAACAGAAACTGCTTTTGCAGGATCCCAGAGTTTAGTTACCAGTACCATGTAGGGCAGCAGACAGCCACTTGTAACCAGGGATCCAGCACATTCTTCTGGCTTCCACAGGCATCTGAATTCATGTGTGCATACCCATACGCAGACACCCATACATGCAACTATTTCTGATTTGTTTTATGAGTTTCTATGTGTAACAGCTCTGGTTGTCCTGGAACTCGCTCTGTTGACCAGGCTGACCTCAAACTCACAGAGATCTGCCTGCTGGGATTAAAGGCCTGTACTACACCACCTGGCCATTTTTTGTTTTTTGTTTTTTTTTTAATCTTGAAAAAAAGTTTTAACCCTTTATTCATAAAACTGTGTAACATAGTTGACCGAGATAATGTCCAGTGCCAGGCATATACTATGATCTAATAAATGTCCATTGTAATTTTTTAATTGTTACCTTAATCACACAAAATGGCTACCTGCTGGGTCTTTAGTGGTGTAGCCAGCACACCCACTCTGGCTAGGTGACCCTGGGAGAGGCCCCCATGAGCTGGTGTTTAGACAGCAGGGTTGTTTCTAAATGGAGTCTCAGTACAGCGTTGCCCTGTGCTTGTGGTTTATTTGTTAAAGCCAAGCATGGGTAGGAGGGGCATCTGCTGGGGTTTATAAGAACGTGTTACTGGGAAGACGGATATGGGGCACCGGGTCTGACTCTCCCTTTGCACCCCCACCCGGCCCCTCCAGAGCTGTGTGACTGGCCTGGCTGTCCATGCTGGTTGTGCAACTGTGGTTCACTCTCCTTTATAATCTGAAGCTGGAGGCGTCTTCAGCACTTTGTGGGCTCCTTCCTGAAGTGTGTGTTGCCCTTCTCCTTGTGTATATCCTGTCCTCTAAACGTCTTCTCATCCTGGGAACCTCGACCTCTCAGGCTCAGAGAAGGTTCGTCCCTCTCTCATCTGCTGTCCTGCTTAAAGAGAGCCAGGCTTCCCCTTATCCTGGGCGTCAGATACATGGAGCCCTGGGACCCTGGAGGCCAAGTTCTGCAGGACCACAATGTATTATTCTGTTTCATAATTGTCACCAGTGTGAGAAGGGTAGGGCCTCTTCCCACAAAATTGCACCTGTGTTGGTGAACGGGGACTGTGGGGGGAGGGATGCCATGGGTACCCACACAGGACACTGGGTCTGTCATGCTCCTGTCCCACTAGAATTATAGTAGGCTTGGGTTAAGATTTGTCACCTGCGTAAATATGGCTTAACCTGAGTGTGTGGTACCCTCAGGTGGAGTACATCTTCACAGACAAGACGGGCACCCTTACAGAGAACAACATGGCCTTCAAGGAGTGCTGTATCGAGGGTCACGTCTACGTGCCCCATGTCATCTGCAATGGACAGGTCCTCCCCAACTCTTCTGGCATCGATATGATTGATTCTTCCCCGGGCGTCAGTGGAAGGGTAGGTTGCCGCTCCTGGAGGTGGAGGGTGTGTGTGCCACACGACCAGGGGTGTGAGTAGGTGGGGTACGCTCACTGGCAGAAGCTGCCCATTCATTTGGGCAGCACAACAAAGTCATGAGTCCTGGAATGAGGTCACGGTTAGAATACACCATGGTGCTGCGTCCCCTTGAAAGGGGCAGGAGGTCTTGACAGAGATTCCTCTGATTGAATTGACTGGGAGACACACACACACACACACACACACACACACACACACAATCTCTGGTCAGCATTCAAACCACTCATATGGTAACTACGAGATAAGTGACGACTGCAGAACCTGAAGGGTCTCCTGAGAGTCAGAGTGGCCTATTAATGATAGATTAGCTGTTCATGGTCAGAATACTGGCTCCTTAAATCTGAGCACCAATTGGTGTCATTGTCTCACAAAGAGGATGGAGTGGCCATCCTGAGACATGCCATAGCAGCTCCACACGCTCCTGAACCCACCCCAACTCCCACCGACTACATCGGTTATCAGGGAAGCTCTGTTGTTGACCACTGTGCTGCCCAGCTACTTAGGACCTCCAGGATCTTCAAACTCTGACTACACGGTGTAGCCCGCACTGAGGAAGCTGAGCTCAGATCTGAGTCAACCTATGGTAACCTCATGCACATGTCTTTATCTCAGCCCGGGGCTCCTGCTTCTGCTTCCAGGGCTGTGCTAGACTGAGCTTCGGGCTGCAGGCACACAGCTAGAGGTTAAGCAATGCAGAGTGCTGGGGCCACTGCCACGGTTGCCACACAGGTGCTGTGGCCAGGAACTGTAGAGTAGGGAGTCTAGGAATGAGTGTGCCAATGACAGGTGACATTTCCCCCCCATTCCTGAATGTGCTTATAGCCATGCCTTCCTGATTCCTAGGAGTGTCACTGAGCAAAACCTTTCTTTCAGTGTTCACTGCCTGTTAGGACTTACACGAGTCACCATGGCAAGTCTGGAGCATGAAGCAGTCACACATACTTCTCAGCTAATGACAGTTCATCCCCAGGTGGTCTTAGGCTCTGCTCTGTGGGCCTGTCCAGCCTGTTGTGCCTTAGCAGACAGAGCTTTCCCCAACTGTCTCCACAGGAGCGGGAGGAGCTCTTTTTCAGGGCTATCTGCTTGTGCCACACCGTCCAGGTGAAGGATGACGATTATGGGGATGATGTAGATGGTCCCCGGAAATCTCCAGACTCTAAGTCCTGTGTGTACATATCTTCCTCGCCTGACGAAGTTGCACTGGTTGAAGGTGTGCAGAGGTGAGTCAGGCTGCTGGTCTCGGCGAGTGTTGGGGTAATGGTGCAACTCGTGAGTCATTCTAGGAGACCCTGTTTTGTGACCTAAAGGCCCTGGCAGTCTTCGTGAAGGCAGATAACCTGGCCTGTGTTTTCTGTGCTTATAGCTGTCTAGACAAAGCCCGGTCCCCAGGCCTTCCCTGTGACCTAAGATGCCAAGGCCAACTGTCTGCAGCTCTCCTGTCACCTGAGCTGGAGAGCTAGCAGCTGGATGCAAGGCTCCGCCCCCTCACTGCTCACTCTGTGTGAGTCTTTCCATCTGGGACATTTACACTGACCCAGGGTCTTCCTGCAGTTCTTTCTGCTGTGCGAGATGTGGCTTGTTAAACAGACATGCAGAAAAACACTCCACACATGGGAAACAGTTTCAGGTCAGGGATGTCGCTAAGACTGTCAGCTCACAGTTCTTTTTGGTTTTTTGAGACAGGGTTTCTCAGTGACTTTGGAACCTATCCTGGAACTAGCTCTTGTAGACCACGCTGGTCTTGAACTCACAGAGACCCACCTGCCTCTGCCTCCCAAGTGCTGGGATTAAAGGAGTGTGCCACCACCTCCTGGCTTCAGCTCACAATTCTTATGGAACAGTAAATTTCCAGTGCCCCCTCCTTGCTGCTACTAACAAATGCGTATAGCCTTCAGAGACTGACAATGGCTGGAGAACCTTTTGAATACTAAGCAAATCTGCTTTTCCTGTACACTTTAGGTAGTGGCAAAGATGTGTGAATGATAATGCCCTCACTATGTGTCCAAGCCACCCCAGTACACACACACACACATACACACACAAAACTGTTGGGTGCAATCTGCCCCGCCACCCGCCTGGGCCCTGCCACAATTGCAGTCCCCAAATAATACACAAGACACTATATTAATTATGAAGCTGTTGACCGTTTGCTTGTTTCTTACTGGCTATCTCTGACTTAAGTATTTAATCCCATAATTGTTAATCTATGTATTTCTCTTACCGGAGAAAGTGTCCAGACTTCTCACCCCTGTGGCAGCTACATCGTGTCTCTCTGTGTTTCTCCTTCCCAGAATTCTCCCCGACTCCTAGTCCCACCTATCTTGCTTCCCTATTAGCCAACAGTGCTTTATTCAACAACCAATAAGAGATAGATTTCAGAATGACATCTCCCTTCACAAAACAAAAGAAAATAATAATAATAAAATAAAAAGGCCCTTGAGGCATTTATAGCAGCGGTTCTCAACCTGTGGGTCATAACCCCTTTGGAGGTTGCATATCAGATATTTACGTTATGATTCATAACCGTAGCAAAAAATCACACACTTGAAGTAGCAATGAGATAATTTTATGGTTGGGGGTCACACCATGAGGGACTATATTGGGTAGGTTGAGAACATTGATTTATAGGGGGAAGTCATGGGTGCTACGGATAGGAAAGTCAGGTCAGGCTGTCCCTCCATCCCTGTGGCTCTTTCAGCTGCAGCCAGTTCCCATGGAACAGGTGGCCGCCGTGATAGTTGTCCCATCTTTTGGTAGCTGCTCAAGCTCAGCCCCACGGCTGAGGTGTTTGTTTTGCAGGAGAGGGAGGGTGGGACAGTATCACTGCAGGTAACCACTGTGGGCCTGTGTCCTGTCAGATCGCTGGGTTGACCTTATAAAACAGAAAGAAAGAAAAAGGCTCAGGATATGTTTCTCACAGTTTGGGGGCCGAGGTCAAGGCATCAGCGTCTCAGAGGGTTTCTTGCTGTACCCGGAATGGTGGCAGCATGGAGAGAGGGGGCGAGAGGGCAGAAACTCTCCTGCGGTGGCCACATTAGTCATTCCATGAGGGGCGAAGTCTGCCTGGCCAGCCACACTTGACACTTGCACTAGGGTTCAGTTTCCTATTCAGGCACGTCAGTGATTGTTGACACCGTGGCAGACAGCGTCTGAGGTTTCTCTTTCTTCTGAAGCCCACTAATCAGGGAAACACAGCTAGAAGCAAGAAGTACAGCCCAGACACCTGGTGCTGGCTTTCCACAGCCTCCAGATCCACAGAGAGCACCTCTTCGCTGTAGGGCGCAGTCTCCGGGGTCATTTTCTGAGGTGGTGAATAAGTCTGAATCCCTGTGTCCTGGTGTATAATCCACCAAACAGCCTGTCTTACTGAAAGTGCTTCCTCTGCGAGAACGATTGCCCCAGTGTAAAATGAAGGCTCCACCGAGGAGGCCTGCCTGGATTTCAGGTCCTGCACTGAGTTTGCCTTCTCGCCCTCTGCAGGCTTGGTTTCACATACCTGAGACTGAAGGACAATTACATGGAAATACTGAACAGGGAGAATGACATTGAGAGGTGAGGAGCTGGCTGCATGAAGTGTCTCACCGGGAAAGAACTGTCGAAAGTGAGGTGCCCGGGGCTGTGTGAGAGGCAGGTCTGCATGCTGCGTTGCTCAGCTGGGCCCTGTCTGAGCTGGGCCCTGAGCTCAACGGCTGTTCCAGCTCCAGAGCCCAGCAGGTCTCCCGGAGGGTTTTCAGACTGGGCATGATAATTGCAGGCTCCTTCGATATTCAAAATGAGACATAGATATTATAACCCTTCTGGGAAGAGTCAGAGCCTGGACCGATCCCAACACAAGGCTGGAGCTGGGCATCCTGTGAGGCCCAGAATATCCTGCCGGGGTGGGGGAAGTGTGGGGGGGCACAGAGTGGACAGGGCACAGGGAGAGGCGGGAGTGCTCCCTTCCTGCTGTGACAGTCATCCAGGGGCGTCCACACAGAGTGGACAGGGAGAGGTGGGAGTGCTCCCTTTCTGCTGTGACAGTCATCCAGGGGCGTCCACACAGAGTGGACAGGGCACAGGGAAGGTGGGAGTGCTCCCCTCCTGCTGTGACAGTCATCCAGGGGCGTCCACACAGAGTGGACAGGGCACAGGGAAGGTGGGAGTGCTCCCCTCCTGCTGGGGCAGTCATTTGGCAATCACACAAGCTCAGCACTACTTGGCAGCAGAGAGTAAACTGTGCCCCTTCTGTCTGTTTCAGATTTGAACTGCTGGAAGTTCTGAGTTTTGACTCTGTGCGGAGAAGAATGAGTGTGATTGTAAAATCTGCTACAGGTAAGATTTCTTCTGACGTCACATGGTGGTGGTTTTCTTCTGATGGGCAACTCTTTGGGATCTTTAAGGGTTTGGGATATAAGAACTATGTATTCCACATCTGTGTGTGTTCATGGAGGAGCATGTGTATGTGTGCACATTCATTCCAGGGTTAGTATGTAGGCTGTAGGACTGCCCCCTCCTTATGGAGATCTTAGACAGTGTCTGTCACTGCTGGGATCTCACTCAGTAGGACAGGCTGACAGACTGGCCGGCCAGCAAGCCCTAGAAATCCTCCTGTCCCTGCCTCCTCAGCACTGACATTGCAAATGCATGCTATTGTGCCTCACACATCTAAAAGGCAGCGCGTGCTTTTAGCTGTATTTAAGGACGTACAGTGTGAGTCTGCAGGTATTTCTGCCCAAGAATTCAGATACCGGCTAATAACAGTGGATTTCTTGCTGGCTGGTTGCTATGACAATGGCTCTTTATGTGGGAGCGGCACATTCTGGTTTGTTGTTGACGTGCGGGATGGAGGAGTGGGTGCAGTGGGACCTCGGCCAGGTGACCCCTGACCCCTGTCACCTTGATGTGTGGTCTCTGTGGTTGGCACTTGCCCTCCCCACAGAAGAAGACAATGTGCCCCATCCTCTCCTGCCCTCACTGCGCTGGAAGCCCCTCTCCCCCCCCAGCACTCATAGGGCTCTGCTTACAGAAGCCCCGCCTCCCCCCAGCACTCATAGGGCTCTGCTTACAGAAGCCCCGCCCCCCCAGCACTCATTGGGCTCTGTTTACAGAAGCCCCGCCTCCCCCAGCACTCATAGGGCTCTGCTTACAGAAGCCCCGCCCCCAGCACTCATAGGGCTCTGCTTACAGAAGCCCCGCCCCCAGCACTCATAGGGCTCTGCTTACAGAAGCCCCGCCCCAGCACTCATAGGGCTCTGCTTACAGAAGCCCCGCCTCCCCCCAGCACTCATAGGGCTCTGCTTACAGAAGCCCCGCCTCCCCCAGCACTCATAGGGCTCTGCTTACAGAAGCCCCGCCCCAGCACTCATTGGGCTCTGTTTACAGAAGCCCCGCCTCCCCCAGCACTCATAGGGCTCTGCTTACAGAAGCCCCGCCCCCAGCACTCATTGGGCTCTGTTTACAGAAGCCCCGCCTCCCCCAGCACTCAGGGCTCTGCTTACAGAAGCCCCGCCCCCAGCACTCATAGGGCTCTGCTTACAGAAGCCCTGCCCCCCAGCACTCATAGGGCTCTGCTTACAGAAGCCCCGCCCCCCGGCACTCATAGGGCTCTGCTTACAGAAGCCCCGCCCCCAGCACTCATAGGGCTCTGTTTACAGAAGCTCCACCTCCCCCCCCAGCACTCATAGGGCTCTGTTTACAGAAGCCCCGCCCCCCCAGCACTCATTGGGCTCTGCTTACAGAAGCCCCGCCCCCCGGCACTCATAGGGCTCTGCTTACAGAAGCCCTGCCCCCCCCAGCACTCAGGGCTCTGCTTACAGAAGCCCCGCCCCCCGGCACTCATAGGGCTCTGCTTACAGAAGCCCCGCCCCCCGGCACTCATAGGGCTCTGCTTACAGAAGCCCCGCCCCCCAGCACTCATAGGGCTCTGCTTACAGAAGCCCCGCCCCCCAGCACTCATAGGGCTCTGCTTACAGAAGCCCTGCCCCCCCACGCACTCATAGGGCTCTGTTTACAGAAGCCCCGCCCCCAGCACTCATAGGGCTCTGTTTACAGAAGCCCCGCCCCCCGGCACTCATAGGGCTCTGTTTACAGAAGCCCCGCCCCCCCAGCACTCATAGGGCTCTGCTTACAGAAGCCCCGCCCCCCAGCACTCATTGGGCTCTGTTTACAGAAGCCCCGCCTCCCTCTCCCCCCCGCACTCATAGGGCTCTGCTTACAGAAGCCCCACCCCCGCACTCATAGGGCTCTGCTTACAGAAGCCCCACCCCCCGGCACTCATAGGGCTCTGCTTACAGCCATACAGCCCTGGTGTCGGAGGTCCAGTTAGCGCTGGTCTCTGGCCTTTGACCAGCACACTCTGTGGGTGTATCCCCAGGTTGCATCTTCATCTCCTTGCCACCCATACACTGCTTGCCCAGCTGTGTTTCCCTTCCTGGACCATGGTGTGGAGTGGCAGCCCCTTCACAGGCCCCTCCCTGAGGCCCTGGGGCGGCTTCCTGGATGCCCAGGTATCCACAGCATCCACACTGGGAGCCGCCTACTATTCCTCCTGACCAGTGTGAACCGCCCCTCCTGGGAGGACCCATGAGTCTTCTGTACCTTTCAGGGGACTCTGACTCAACAACTGTCATGTCTCTGTTGGCAGTGTTTTCCCTACGTAAGCACACCGTATTAATACTTCCTAGGGTTTGGAGATAGGTCAAGTGGGTGCCTGTCAAACAGCTGTATTAATATGTCCTAGGGTTTGGAGATAGGTCAAGTGGGTGCCTGTCAAACAGCTGTATTAATACATCCTAGGGTGTGGAGATAGGTCAAGTGGGTGCCTGTCAAACAGCTGTATTAATATGTCCTAGGGTTTGGAGATAGGTCAAGTGGGTGCCTGTCAAACAGCTGTATTAATACATCCTAGGGTGTGGAGATAGGTCAAGTGGGTGCCTGTCAAACAGCTGTATTAATATGTCCTAGGGTTTGGAGATAGGTCAAGTGGGTGCCTGTCAAATAGCTGTGCCTTGGGATTTGATCCCAGTCCTCAGCCCAGAAGTGTGCCTCCCCCCTTGCTCCTACCCTGGACATTTGACGAAGCCATTCACCACCAGCCTGGATTTACTCTCGACATACTTCAAGCACACTCAGTGTCAGGGGCGTAGAAGCCTGTCCTACAAGGCATCTGGGTATTCCACCTTCCTGGGAACATGAACCCTGTCGTGTGCCTTCTGTATCCTGCTGCCATTGGAATGCACAGTGGTGTTTCTCTTCCTTTCTTCCTTTCTTTCTTAATTGTCGTTATTGATTTTTTGAGACAGGGTTTCTCTGTATAGCCCAGGCTGTCCTGGAACTCACTCTGTCGACAAGACTGACCTCAAACTTAGGGACCTGCCTGTCTCTGCCTACTGGGATTAAAGGCGTGCACTACCACACCTGGCTTTCTGTGATGTTTCTATGGCTATGCCCAAGTGCTCTATCAACATTGCACTGCAGCCTGAGATTGCATTATTGGTGAGCAGGGACTGAGACAGTGTTTCAGAGTAGGGCAGCTGAGGGTCGGCCTGAGACTGATTACAGAGCAGCTGGGCTGTGCACGTTGCATCAGAGCTGGTTTCTCTGTGCCTTGGCTACTTCTTTGCTGTCTGTTGGTGTCTCTTACCTGGAAGGAGAATGTTCATTCATGTTGAGAAAGGAGCTCTCAGAGTCAGCACAGAGATGCTCAGGGCTCTGAGGACAAGACTAGTTTCCCACAAAGCTTTGTGATACAAAGGAAGACCCACTTTCCGGAGGAATTAGACACTCACCTTCTGGTATCTCGTGAAGTCTGAACATTGCTTTTAGGCCAGCAGCGAACCCTTTCTTCTCTATGCTCACCTGCCTTCCCAATCGCAGTCCCAGGGAGTATGAGCAGCCAGAGCCCTCGTTGTTCATGGCTCCTGACTGTCTCGAGCGCCAGGCTGCAGGAATAAAATGGGCTCTGGCATGTTTCATGGGCTGCACTTCTTTCAGATCTTAATGTGTTAACCGGTCCTTAAAATGAACTTTAAAACGGTCTCCATACCGGTGTCACTTGTTTTCATTAATAACAACGGAAAAGTAAGTTTAATTACCTCCCCATATAGTAATTAAATTCTACATTGTTTCCCCCTCATCTTTCAGGAGAAATCTATCTGTTTTGCAAAGGAGCAGATTCTTCAATATTTCCCCGAGTGATAGAAGGCAAAGTGGACCAGGTCCGGTCCCGAGTCGAGCGCAATGCAGTGGTAAGATGCTGCCCCCGTCTGTCTGCCACCCCGCCCTCCACAGACTCTGCATTCAGCCACCGTGCTTTCTGATGATAGAGGTCCCCTGGCTTTCCTGTCTGCTGCCGACCGGTAACGAGAGGTTGTCGTTGTACATGTGTGGAGACAGCTGGCATCCTCTCAGCCATGCCTCCCAGGACTGAGGAGCTAGAGAGACCCCATGCCTGACTTAGATGACTTTCTGCTGAAGTCTGCAAAGGCTGCTCTAGATACATTCCAGATACAGCACTGTCACATTCCCTCAGAGAAAGGCCCCATCTGGTGCTACAGAAGACATGTGCTGGTTGCGTTGAACTTAGTAGGACAAACTTCTTGAAGCACTGGGGTTAACTTTCATTTCAAGTGGGTGCATTGGGAGTTCTGGCCCCTTCTGCCAAGGGTCACCTCCAGGAGAGCCACTGGAGACACTCGGTGTTAATGAGCACACTGATGTAGTCCATGCTTGATCGTTCTGGAGGGTCCTCCACCTGAGAATCATTTTCCTTAAGGGAAGTAGTATGTTAATTATGATTGGAAATACACATTTCTAAAGGCTTTATTGAGTCAATAAACATTAGCAAGTTCATATTAAAGGTAAAAGTAGGTAAGTTCTGGTTTACACTTGTGAAAGCATTGTCCCCACTATGTCCTCAGAATCTCTGTCCCCACTGCGTCCTCAGAATCTCTGTCCCCACCGCGTCCTCAGAATCTCCGTCCCCACTACGTCCTCAGAATCTCCGTCCCCACTACGTCCTCAGAATCTCTGTCCCCACTGCGTCCTCAGAATCTCTGTCCCCACTGTGTCCTCAGAATCTCTGTATTCCCCGCTTGTCAACTTTCCCTTCCACACCACCATTTGCCATCACTGTTCTTACCTTCTGGAATGTTCTCACCAGTAGAATTACGTCTGTTGTCTTCTCAGGCTTCTCTCACTACACGTAACTTCTAAGGTTCGTCTACCCCGTGCACGTTACAGCACGGTGCTCCTCTTCTCAGGCTTCTCTCACTACACGTAACTTCTGAGGTTCGTCTACTCCGTGCCTGTTACAGCACGGTGCTCCTCTTCCCCCTGAGCCACCCAGCTGACTGACGCCCAGCACTCATTTGTTCATCTGAGGATGGACCCTTGAGACTGAGCACCAGTGGGAACTCTGGGCCCAGGGAGAGCAGTGCTCCAAATCCACCAAACAACATGAAGCCACAGCTTGAAGGAACAAGCTGTTTCTTAGGATCTTGACCACATCTCTTGATAGCACTCTCTAGCTGCAGGAAGTGAGTTCCCCAGCCAGGAGTTACTCAGGCAGTGAACTGAGGAGCCTGCAGGCCCCACATTTGTAACAGGATTTAAACAATTAAAGCTTTACACAAGTAAAGACAGCAGTAGGAAGTGCAGAGGGGACTACTGTTTCCTTCCCATCCAGTGGCCCATTTCTTCTTAGTTGCCTGTTTTGAGAACTGTAATTAAGAAACTGCTGCCAAATACAAGATTATGAAGACTTTACCCTGTATTTTTCTAAGAACTTTGTACTTTAAGCTTTTAAATTTAAGATACTGAGCTTATTTTATGTGTGGTGATAGAAGTTGACTGTCTTATTTTTTGAGTGTTGTTTTTTGAGCATCATTGTTGAAGGGACGATTTTATCCCTGTTGAGTGAGCTTGTTCCTCTTGTTAAATCATCTAGACAGATATTCCAGGGTTTGTTTCTGAGTCTCAGTTCTATCCTACTCCCCTCTCTCTCTCCCCCCTCCCTCCCCCCTCCCCCTCTTCCTCCCTCTTCCTCTCTTTCTCTCCACACCAGTTGTGTGCAGTTTTTTAGTTTCCTCTGCTGTCGTGTACTAGTAAGTTTTGAAGGCAGAATGTTTGCATGTCCAACTTTATTCCTACCTAAGTCCTTACACTCATTCTCCCTAAGCGCCTTGAAATTCCCTGAGTTCCTGCTAAGATTGCCATCCCAGGTTCCATAGGATCACAGGATTCCAAATGGCTTTAAGTAGTGTTGTCATCTTAGCAACATGGCGTCTTCCACTCCACAGAGACAGACACGTTTCTGTTATTTGGCTCCTCTGTGATTTCTTCACTGTTTCGTAGTTTTCAGTCTATGAGTCTTTTCCTCCGTGAGTAAACACATTCCTGGATGTTTTCCTTCTGATGTAATTATGGATAGGAATGTTTTCTTAATTTCCTTCCCAAGGTGAGTGTTGGGAGCGTGTGAGATGCAGCTGGCGTGTCTGTGCTGATGTCACAGTTGTGCTATTGCTTCGTTCACATAATAGCCCTGGGGTTTCCTGAGAGGTGGGGTACACGTTCTTTTTGATTGTCTGTCTGTGGAGCTGGTCATCTGCATGTGCCGTCTTTAGAAAGGCATTCTTCCCGATTTGGGTGTCTCCTCCAGTACCGGATCCCTCTGGTAGAATTTGTTCGGCAGAAGTGCCCTCTCCTTGCCTTGGAGCAGTTCTTGGGGAACCACTGTGAAGACAGCTCTGTGTTGCTCCTGCAGTTTTCCAGTATTTCCTCTATCAGTTCAGATCATCACATGGGTCTTCATCCCAACAACATCACAAGTCACATTGGCCCACTTCCTGTGCTGATCAGTCTGGCATTCAGGCATGAGGCAATCTTTTCGTAACTGTTGGATTCAGTTTGCTGGTGTGTCGCCGCCGCCGACTACTTTATCTGTATTATAAGGGGTGGCGCTCTATAGTGGTGTCCAGGTGTGGTTGTGGTTTGTACAGCTTGGTAGTGTTCACAGAGAACTCTTGTCATGCTTAGCAAGAGACTTGGGGAAAAGCACCTCTGCCTCAGGCACCACAGGCCTCCTCGTTTCTGCTCACAGCGCACTCCATTCTGAAGAGTCCATTGTCCTTAGAGCTTTCCTTGTCTGATGGTCTCTGGACTTGGGAATGAAGCAGAGTGTTTTCCCCTCCTTCTCTCCCTCCCTGGAGAGGGGTGATGAGAGCTGTTGACAGGTGGGGGTGTGTCTTCCACACAGGTTAGGAGGAGGTCTGAAGGGCTGTGAGAAGGGATGATAACACCTTACAGGAAATGGTTTTAAAAATCTGGAAATCTCAGTGCTTGTTGAGGAGGCCCGTAAGTGTCTCACTGTTGTTCATGGAGTTAAGGAGAAAGGGCAAGAGGTACCCAAGGGAACCACACCAAGAGCAACCACCCAGTGACAGTTTGGTGTGTCTTGGCAAGAGTGCCACGTAGTGGCAGGCCTTGATAGCTGAATTGCACCTTCTCCACATGTGGTGTGTCAGAACCCCTCATCCCTCAGGCTTATTTCAGTTTCCCGTGGTCCCAGCATGTGGTGAATAACTAACTACCCTTGCAGTCTTCCTTGGTATTCACTATGGTTAAATTCTGACAAGCTCCCAGCTTTTGAAACAACATTACAAAGTATCTCCTGAAAGCTTAAATTGAACTCTTGTTTGTTTACATGAAGAGAAAAGTCTATGTTCCAGTGTACTGACCTGTTCCGAGTATCATATGTTAACAGTTCTATAATGTACACAGTTGTCCATATTTAATGTAATCAGTAATCCCTTGAGGGTGGCTGGGTTATGGCTCACTCTCTTCAGAGATATATGAGGGAGGCCTGAGAATACATTCAGCAGGTAATACTGGATTCGCATTGAACACCGACTTGTGATCCACAGGAGGGGCTGCGAACCCTGTGTGTTGCCTACAAGCGGCTTGAGCCTGAAGAGTATGAAGATGCTTGCAAACTGCTGCAGGATGCCAAAGTGGCGCTTCAAGATCGGGAGAAGAAGTTAGCGGAAGCCTACGAGCAGATTGAGAAGGACCTGATTCTGCTTGGTGCTACAGCTGTCGAGGACCGGTAATGCTGCCGCAATGTCTGTTCAGTTACAACTGTGTTAGAGCGGGAGCGGGCTGTGAGCTTGGGGGGGGGGCAGATAGATAGCACTCGTGTCCACAGTTACAGCAGGAGCAGGCTGTGACAGATAGCACGCGTGTCCACAATTACAGTGGGAGCGGGCTGTGAGCGTGGGGGGGCAGATAGCACGCGTGTCCACAGTTACAGATGGGAGCGGGCTGTGAGCGTGGGGAGGGCAGATAGCACGCATGTCCACAGGTACAGCGGGAGCAGGCTATGACAGATAGCACGCGTGTCCCCAGTTACAGCGGGAGCAGGCTGTGACAGATAGCACGTGTGTCCCCAGTTACAGCGGGAGTAGGCTGTGACAGATAGCACGCGTGTCCACAGTTACAGTGGGAGTGGGCTGTGAGCGTGGGGGGGCAGATAGCACGCGTCTCCACAGTTACAGTGGGAGCGGGCTGTGAGCGTGGGGGGGCAGATAGCACGCGTCTCCACAGTTACAGTGGGAGCGGGCTGTGAGCGTGGGGGGGCAGATAGCACGCGTGTCCACAGTTACAGATGGGAGCGGGCTGTGAGCGTGGGGGGCAGATAGCACACATGTCCACAGTTACAGCGAGAGTGGGCTGTGACAGATAGCACGCATGTCCACAGGTACAGCGGGAGCAGGCTGTGACAGATAGCACGCATGTCCACAGTTACAGCGGAAATGGGCTGTGAGCGTGGGGGGCAGATAGCACGCGTGTCCACAGTTACAGCGGGAGCGGGCTGTGAGCGTGGGGGGACAGATAGCACCCAGTTCCAGTGTGTTCTTCCTGAGGACAAGGCTCACGGTTTTCCTTCACATAGAGTGACAACCCAGGAGACTGTCACTGGGTGATATGTTACTGACCACACATAGAATGCCTGAATAGTGAAAGTTACATCTTCACATCACGTTACCCATGCAAGATACAGTTTCTTTTCATGCCTCAGAGACAAACTAGTAGTTATTTTCCTAATTGCTGCTGGCTCTTCTGAACGTAGCTTGATGTTTTAGATTTTAGTGTCTTCGACATATTTCTTTGTTGAAGAAAGTTAACATAATGAAGTGGACTATGATAAAAGCCAGTAGGTATAGCTGATAAAATTGTGAGAATGCTTCTGGAATCCTCAGTTACAAGGTGAAGGCCGAGGAGCCATTGCAGTGGCCGAGGGCAGGGGTGTAGGGAGGGAGGCTGCTCCAGGGGGAGAGCTTCTGAGGGGCTTTGCATGAAGCCCTTGGGAGTAGCTGACATGGCGGATGTCCTGGAGTCAGGCCATGAAGCGTGGAGGGTGACACCCAGGAGCTCATAGGGATGGGTAGCAGTAAAACTTTTTTCTAGACAGGGTTTCACTGTGTAGCCCACATGGCATCCTCCTGGGATTACAGGTATGATGTCCTGTTGAAATGATGTTTGATCACAAGTTACTTCTTTAAATCCTAGAGCCAGTACATTGGTAAACTTACCTGTCTAGGCCCCAGGTCCCTTATTAGTGTTTCAGAAAAATTACACGATTGGAGGTGTCTTTCCGCATTCATGCAACTGCAATAATGGCATCTCCACACTTGAGGCCAGGAGTTTCCTCCCAGAGACTCATTTGACTTCGCAGGGTTATCTAGAGGTTCACACAGTGCTGGCACATGCTAAGCCAGTGATTACTGTTAGCTAGCTGTGGGGCCACTAGCATTACTACCAGCATCTGATAGAATACTTAAAGCCTGGACTCCAGTTTGATAAGCAAGAACATTAGAGCCCATGGCACCAAAGCGAAAGAAAATACTTACTTCCTGATTCCATTTTACGGTTTGTGTCTGGCTTCAGTGAGTCTTCTCCCAAGTGGAAGGATGTGAGGTTCGGCAAAGGGACAGGACGCAGGACAGCCTCCTTAAAGGGCTCGTCCATGTTTGTCTGCAGGAAGGAGCCTTGTAGCTCGTCATCGTGTGGTGTGCACTCTGGGGGCAGGTTCCGGGCCCTCGGCCACTTGAATGTGCTGCTGCTGGTAGAGCTGAATGCTTTCATGGCTTTGTGTTTCCTGAAGTGCTTTCTTTGGTGGCCCTCGGGTCCTGACCCCGCTGTCCGTACCCTGTCTCCCCAGGCTGCAGGAGAAGGCCGCTGACACAATCGAGGCGCTGCAGAAGGCGGGTATCAAGGTCTGGGTGCTCACTGGAGACAAGATGGAGACGGCCTCAGCCACCTGCTATGCCTGCAAGCTCTTCCGCAGGAGCACCCAGCTGCTCGAGCTGACCACCAAAAGGCTCGAGGAGCAGAGCCTGCACGATGTTCTGTTCGAGCTGAGCAAGACCGTGCTGCGCTGCAGCGGAAGCCTGACCAGGGACTCCTTCTCGGGGTAGGCAGCCCCCAATCTCATTTGCAAGTCAGTCCCACCCACAAGATCCCGGGTCTCTGTGGGCCCCGGGTGCCCATCTGGCGATGTTCTCGTGGGACACTTAGATGCTTTGGGTGACACAGAAGCCTGTGCTGGCAGGCGCTTTCAAGCTGATGGGCAGAGAATACAGAAAATGTTTATTGGTAAAACTTTGATCTGCTGTCGTACCTCTGGGATGCTGCCAGAGAAGCCAGAAGGTAGGGAGTTTGTCTGGGACAACAGTGTTGCTGAAGTTGGGTCTTTCCAACATCCACCCGCTTATTGACACATTTTACAAGGGCCTCTCTTGCCCGTGTTGAGGAGTCATGAAGGTAGTGTCATTAGATTCTGATTCACATTCATTGTTTTGTGTGTGCCACAGCGTACACCTGGAGATTGGAGGGCAGTTCTCTTCTTCACCCTCTAGGTTCTGGGGTTAAAGTTGGGTAGTCTGCTTAGAGCAGACAATGAGTTTGGCAGAACGAGTCAGCCCTCCAGGCTTGTGAAGATTTTGGCAGTTTTAGGAAGAGCACAAAGTTACCTCTCTAAGTTAACCTTCAGAATTTGGGGATTTGTTTTGTCATTTTAAGGCCTAGCCAGGCGACCTGGAGAGATAGTTCAGTGGTTAGGAGCTTGCACTGCTCTTCCAGAGAGCCCAAGTTTAATTCCCAGCACCAGCATCAGGGACTCCCCACTGCCTGCAACTCCAGCTCCTGGGAGGTCAGACTCTGCTGGTCTCAGCAGGTGTGTTCCCAGACCTGCATACAGATTACACATAATTTAAAATGATAAAAAAAATAAATCTTTATAGCCCAACAAAGGGAGACTTTGACCATGTTCTAACAGGAAGTCACCAGGGCAGAAAGCCCAGGATGTATTAGCTGTCCAGGTAGAGGAGGCTGGCATAGAGACCAGAAATGAAGACCTGCCTTCCCAAGCCCACCTTTGGTGTCCCAGTATGGGACTTACACACAGTCTCACAGGAGCCTGTGGCTGCTGGCACAAAGAGTCTTCATTAAAATGTGATTTTACGGTGGAGTCAAAGAGGTGGCTCCAATTCTGTAAAGACTGTAGTGATGGAAGGACTGTGAGCGTCCTGATCCTGCGGATGGCGCCGTGCACAGTGACCTTCCCCCTTGTGTGCTCTAACAGCCTTTCGACAGACATGCATGACTATGGCTTGATCATCGATGGAGCTGCGCTGTCCTTGATCATGAAGCCCCGGGAGGACGGAAGCTCCTCAGGCAACTACAGAGAGCTCTTCCTGGAGATCTGCAGGAACTGCAGCGCAGTGCTGTGCTGCCGCATGGCACCCTTGCAGAAGGCCCAGGTCAGGGACTGCTCCAGTAGAGGGACATAGGAGTTTGGCATGCGGGGAAAGCCTTTCTTAAGTCTCACTGTCTGTTACTCCACAACCATCAGGGAGGCATAGCAATTCCAAGCCAGAGTCTTAGATTCTCGTTAAGGGTCAGGCATGGATGGCTACTCTTGGAGAGGAGCTGTAGTGCCTTGGGAATCTCCCCCAAGGGTTGGGGAAGGAGCTTGCATTCACCGAGCACCTTCTGTGTGCCCACGGTAGTCAAGACTTGACTTTCCTCCTTTGGACTCCAGACAGTCCTCCGCACTCTCCCTGTTCTTGTGAGAACGTACCCAAGTTACCTTTTTAAATACATCAAATGTGTTGTGCAATGCATACATGAACGTGGTATCCTTCCAGTGTCCATTAGCCTGGATGTAACCCAGCTCCACTTAGCATGTTTAGAATGCCTTCTTGAAATGCTCATAAGGAAATCAGGTCCTCTCAGGTGACCCAGCCGTGAAGGCAGAGTTCATTATGCAGGTGACCCAGTACATTATGCAGAAAGCCAGGTTCAGAGAGGCGCTCTTTCAGATGCCAGCTTGATGCTCCAGTTAGCTTCTGTCACTAGGTACAACCAGAATGTCCCCAGGATAGTTCTCAGAGAAGACAGACAATGGCTTTTTTTTTTTTTTTTTTTTTGGCTACCCTCTTCTGTGTTGGACTTCATGAAAACCTGTAATTGTTTCCCTGATTACATCTGGGATTTCCAGTGCTATTTTGGGTTCTCAATTGATTTCTAAAAATGCATGTATCATTTCTTGTCTTGAAACAAGAAAGCAATCTGTACAATCTGTAGTCCCCCTTCTCAGTCTCTCTCTCATATCCTAGTGCATTGTACTTCAGCACAGGGCATGGGCGAAGTGCATTGTACACAGTGAGGACAGTGTGTGTGGGAAGGTCTATAAAGAAATCGACTTGGAAATTGAGGAAGAGAAATCATGAAGAATACTTACTGCACTGAGTTGACATTATTTGATTTTTACACATGACAGGTTTGAAAATGAAAATAGCATTAGGAACAGCTTCCTTTTTAAAAAATTGTTTGATACCAAGTAACATGGAATTTGAGCACCTTCTTGCAGACTACAATGCTGGCATTGGTCCTGGGCTTTTCCAATGTCTTCCTGCCTCTGTGAAGTCATGTCATTGATCATATCTTAGTTTTTAGGAGATGATTTGATCCTCTCTGGAGGAAATTGTGAGATCTGCAAATGAGCTGTAAGCAGACAGTTTCCCCCTGACTTACACCAGCTTGCTCTCTGTTGGTTCTGCCCAGTTAATGACCCTAAGGAAATCCCAACAGAGAAGATAAATTCCACATTTCTTTCTTTTCCAGATTGTTAAACTAATCAAATTTTCAAAGGAGCATCCTATCACCCTAGCGATTGGTGACGGTGCAAATGATGTCAGTATGATCCTGGAGGCCCACGTGGGCATAGGTAAGCCGTTGCTTCTCCAGTTGGGTTTGCACTTTAGGTAGATAAAGGCTTCATCATAGCATGCAGGGGGACCTTGTGCCTCCACTGGGCAGTGGTCTCTGGGCTTAGCTGGCTCTGGTTACCAGCGTGATTCACCCTTCATTCTAGGCGTCATCGGGAAGGAGGGTCGCCAAGCTGCCAGGAACAGCGACTATGCAATACCCAAGTTCAAGCACTTGAAGAAGATGCTTCTTGTTCACGGGCATTTTTATTATATCAGGATATCTGAGCTTGTGCAATACTTCTTTTATAAGGTAGGAAGATCTCCTCTCAGTTTCAACGGCATGAGACCCTTCACCGGGTGACTTAATGTTTCCGGAGTCATTTATCTACAAAAAGAAGTGACCATCAGGAAGTATGTTGCTCCTGTAACAGGATTCCTGACACTTCTTAAACCTTCTCAGAGTTGAACATAGAGCCAGAAGGAGGAGTTGTGCGACGTTTGAGGGCAAACGTCTTGGTCCTTTGAACAGTCCCCTCCATGCAGGCAGGTCCTTGGTGCTGGCCTTCCCTCTCTGTGGTCACCAGGGCCACACTAGAGATGTGTGCATTTCAGTTGCCACCCGGGGAAGAGAAGCATTTCCACTCAGCTGTCTTGTAGGATGTTGGGCCTGCTTGGATTGATCCCTCATATGAAACATCGTGTGTTGACAGAGGCTTGTGAGCTCTAGGCAAGCCCATGCGTCTCTGCAGAATGCCCCTGAACTAATGGCCATGACTTGCCTTTCAGAATGTCTGCTTCATTTTCCCTCAGTTTTTGTACCAGTTCTTCTGCGGATTTTCACAGCAGGTCAGTCTGATACCATAAGTTCAAAGCTCATCGCCGTCTTGTCTTCCTTCCCAACGGGTGGCCATAGTGAGGGAACACTTCAGGGACATGCAGACAGACCCCCCCCAAAGTGATCTGGTGGGAGCCCAGGTGCATCCATCCTGCTGTCCCTGGGGCTTGTCAACAGAAAAAGGTGAAGGGCCAGGCTATGGAGCTGAGGAGTTGCCAGCTGCAGACTGGATGTCATGAGGCTGACATGTTCCTAAACACATTGGAATGGTTATACCCACACCTGAACCGTCGTGGATGTGGGGGTCATCTTGGAGTCTGAGGCACTGAAGTATACCCAGGTTACCTGGGAGACGGGTGCTGCCTAGGCAGACACTTTTCTGTCCCCACACCTTGTACCATGTGTGCCCAGATGGACAGGGGTCAATAGCTTGTATCTGGAGCCACCAGGGCCAGGCTAATTGAAGCTAGAAAACATGAAAGTGAACAGAATTGCGGGTCCAAGCTCTAACAGACATGACGAATTTTAAGCCTGATGAATTTACCTCATGAAGTTTGCAGTCTGCCCCAGTTGTCTGGAGAATAGTGGCTTTTGTGTGGTTCAGGTGCACTTTCTATATATTTAAGCTGCTTTACTCAGGGCCTGGGGACATGACTCAGTCGTCAAAGTTCTGGCTGTACAAGCATGAAGACCTGAGTTTAAATCCCCAGCACCTATACCAAGTGGGGTTTAGCAGTATAGGAACCAGTGATAAGGAGATAGAGGCCAGAGGATACCTGGGGCACATTGGCTAACCACCCTAGCTGAATCGGTGATCTCCAAGTCATCTGATGCTGACCCCTGGCTTCGACACACACGTGTACATGCACGCGTGCACGCACACACGCAGCCATGTGCTAAATCATAGCATCAGTCTGTTAATGCTGTACTTCTCCTGGCAGACTTTGTACGATACTGCGTATCTGACCCTCTACAACATCAGCTTCACTTCCCTCCCGATTCTCCTGTACAGCCTCATGGAGCAGCACGTGGGCATGGAAGTGCTCAAGAGAGACCCGTCCCTGTACAGGTGCGTGCGAGCCCCTGCCCTGTGCGTGTGCGTGCGAGCCTGTGCGTGTGCGTGCGAGCCCCTGCCCTGTGCATGTGCCAGCCCCTGCAACTCCGTGCAGCACAGGGACAGCGGAAGCAGTGCACATCTGCCAGTCAGCTCCTGGTGGCATTGTTTCAAAGCTGGGGGCACTTGCATCCACAGGATGTAGTTTAAACAGCCAGGCAGTGTCCTGGAGTGTGCTCCACAGGTGAAGGGGCCTGAATGTACATGTGAACCTCTTTCGCATCCCACTGCTTGATAGAGTTGGGAAAGCTAGGGGTGGAACCTTGCTCTGCCTGGCCCCAGTGAATTCATTTCTTCGTATTAAGCTTTTATAGTATTTCAGAACTGCCCAGATTTTCTGACAGATACAATATTCCTTTGTAGTGTTCTTGTCCAGTTTCCCCAGTAATAATGAGTTGGTACTGCAGTGTAGCAGCCAGCCCCTGGCTACATTGTCATCCTTCACCTACCTCATTCAGGTGTCCCGGGGTCTTTGTCTCAGTCATGCTTGTACACACGTGTGTGTGCTTACCTCTGTGAGGTGTTTTCACATGTGTAGTTTCAGAAGCCACATGACATCAGACAGCTTTCTCCTGTCCAGTTCCACAGGACAGAATCCCATGTCACAGACTTTGAGGCCTTTATTTCAATGTGTAGCCATTTATGAGACCTTGAAGTGTGTGTGTATGAGAGAGAGAGAGAGAGACAGAGACAGAGAGAGAGACAGAGAGAGAGACAGAGAGAGAGACAGAGAGAGAGACAGAGAGAGAGAGAGAACATGCACATTTGAAACATACGCACAGAGGGATGCTACAGACTCCAGTGCAGTGAGCAGGCCTAGAAACGCATGTGGGTTAGTAACGAGCTCAAGTCCTCAGTCTGCTAATCAGTGTGTCGGATAGCGCGTGTGCTATGTGTGCGACCTCCATTCAGAAGACAAGAGTGCATGGGGTTTCCTTTAACAACATTGCAGTTGAATTTGAGAGAGAAAATACTCAAATGCAGAACGTTGGTACATAGCTCAGTGTGAAGTCTGAAAAACGTGTGTTTTGCCGTGTTTATCACTCTCAGTTGACGCTTTAGGAACAGGCGGACAGAGATGATGCTGCCCAGAGGTTACAGCTTTCCCACTTTTCCTCAAACAGAGACATCGCCAAGAACGCGCTGCTCCGCTGGCGGGTGTTCATTTACTGGACGTTTCTCGGCGTATTTGACGCTTTGGTATTTTTCTTTGGTGCTTATTTCATGTTCGAAAACACAACCGTGACCAGCAACGGACAGGTCAGTACTGAACGCCTTGTGGCTTCACTGCTTAGTAGCCAGCCCCACCCCATGCAGTCACTGTGTAGAGCATTGTATGAGGACAGCTCGGCCCATGGCTAGGGAGCACCGAGAGGTGTGGGTCTGTGGAGGGACTTAGAGGAAGGGCCGTGTGACCAGCCTAGGGGATGGTCGGTCTACTGGTTTTCCTGGCAGGTGTATCCCACCGTGAGCTAATCCCCGTGGCTCCGTGGTTCCAGGCAGCCCTGTACTCCGATGGGAGTTACGCTGTGTGAGTGTCGCTCCACAGTGTGTGAGCATGGCCCCTCTCAGCAAGTAGCTCTGTAGTGCTCTAGTGGACAGCAGCTTGTCGTTTGCCTACTTTCTGGGGTTTGTTTTATTCGTATCTCGCTTTTTTCTTTTTGCCACTGGCTTCCCTTCCCACCTCAGATAATGACCACCAACACAAGCATGGTAAGACACCGTGGGTTTGTCCTCTCTGTGTTTTTGGAGTGCATTACAAATAAAATATTTCGTGAAAATATTTTCGAATGTGACTTCTTCTGTGTGCTTTGTCGGTAGACAAGCTATTAGCCATCCCTGCCTCTACTGGCTCCGGAGCCACCTGACCCTGCAGGTGTCTTCTCCCTGGGGGTCTGCCAAGGCTTTGGTGGAGGGGGCTAAACTGACCCCATAGGTCTGCATGTTACTGTAAATTTAGGACAGGAGGCTTGGTGGGGACCTGCTTTGGAGCACACCTGGGGAGAACAGGAGGCATCGAGTGGACCTTAGGTCTAGACATGGGTGCCGAGCTTAGTGTTCAGCCCAGTTGAGATCATGGGTTTTGAGATGGCTGTTCAAACAAACACTGCAATTGACATCAGAGAAAACTCCTCCCTTGAGGGAGCTTGAAGACAGAAATGCTTTCCATTTCTCGTTTATCCAACTCCCCTCTCTCTCCCCCTGTTGTCTCCCCCGTGTCATTCCCTCGAACTGTTAGGTTGAAATGCCAGGCGTCTGGCCTGTGTCAGCGGTTTGTTTACCCATGTATTTGTTTCTGTTGCCTCCTAAGTAAAGGTTGTCTCATGTTAGAACATAAACCAGCTTTTACTAAATTTGACCCTGAAGATTTGCTAAAGTTTATCTCACTGTCTTAAGGATTTTAAGCTTTTCAGTAGCTTTCTGTTGTATTTTAAACAATGCCTGTAAGCCGCCAGCCCATAAACATAGTGACAGAGTGGGCGTCTGAATCTTAGGTGACTTGGACACTGTGTCCCATAGGTTAACCTTTCTGAGCATCTCACCTTCTAGTGTGCATCCTAAACACTCAGGTCTCTCTCAGCACCCCGCTTTCTGTTCGCTCTCAAAGCTCATCTTCCCTCCCACTCAGGGACCATTCATCTGGTGGTCGCTGGCGTGGGAGGTTGAGGAAGGAGCTTATACAGACTGGGAAGCCAGTGTAAGGCCAGGTGATGGGGAGAGGCAGAGCAGAACCCAGATCCTGACCGTGCCAGCATGTGGCGTCCACCTCGGCCCAAGCTGTCTCGGTGTTTCAGAGTACAGTGACGGACGTTCTCTGGGGCTGCCCAGGAGGTGGAGTGCTAGGGTGGCTGTCTGTTTTAGAAAGACTGTGGCAGTGAGCTCACTTCCCAGAGACTCTGTCTCCTGCCAGGCCTTGCTGGCTGGTGTGTATGGTGGCGTCTCTGCTGCCATCATGGGAACTCAGGATTCCTAGTGTTCCTTTGCTTGCACCCCTCAGACAGTCCTTTTGTTCCATGAGGTCTTGTGTGGGCTCCTGGAAAGATGCTTCTTGGTGGTCCTGCAAATGTCCACACCTGTCATCCACAGCTCTGCCGTTAACCACTGTTGAGAGTGTTCATTAGAACTAGAGAGCAAGGCGGAGATGGACTCACCTGAGTCTCCTACCGGGCTCTGGCACTGAGAAGGCTTCGGTGGCCACCTCCACTGCACACACAGGCTTCTCAGCAGAGGCTCGGTGTGTACCATGCGTGTCTTAACACAAGAGAATTCCCAACGGAGGCTGGCAGGGTGGACCAGTGCTCATCAGGACAGGAGACACTAATTCACAAGATATACATTCAGAGTCAGGCGTGATGGGGGAATGTGTTCTGATCAGGATGAGATAGGAGACCAGACATGCCCGGCGAGTATTTCAAGGTAGCCTCTGACACCCATCTGTGGCGTGGGAATGGCAGAATTAGGATGACCAAGGCCACTGCACAGGCCGGGGAGGCCCAGGAAGCCATCTGGTTTCCAGTCATGCTCTCCACCCTGCCCCCAGGCCTCTAGATACCCTGAGTTAAACTGCTGTTTTTTGATGTGAGATTATTCGATTTGCAGGGCTCGGGGGCAGGGTCAACTAGACAATAACCCTCCCCGCTCTGGGTTTACAGTTTAGTGATCATAATGCTTGATGTTCCTCATGGATCCAGGACTCATAGTCTAGATCCTTCAGTTTAGAAGTTCATTCTGTTGCCGTTAAAGATCTTTCTGGAAAGGTCTTCATCGTTCTGTGGGAACATTCATAGGTCACACGCAGTGTGAGAACAGCAGTTATGAGTTTCTTAAGATTTGCTTATGGATCATTTTTGCACTGACATCAAAAGCCATAAATATTTCATTTTCTTGATGCTAGGGAGGCAATAAACACCACACACTCACTAACTCTGGGGTGTTCCAGCCTGGTCTGCAAGTTGGAATGTTCTAGTAGTCAGGGCACACCTAGAGGTCAGCTGATATAGCTGTCCGTGTTGAGTGAGCCCAGCATACAGCTGACAGATGGGGTGTGGAGTTGGCCCAAAGGGGTGCAGAGGTGTCACGACCATGACATTAAGCAAAAGCTATGTCTTATGGAATATTACTGCAAATAAAAATTAAATTGGCTCGGGTTTAAAATCTGTGGTGACCAGAAAGCACCTCAGGAGAGTGTTTCCCGTCGTCGGGGAGAAGGAAGACTCAAGGAGACAGAACCGAGCTTGCACTAGGCAGACAGGTGCACTGGCCGGAAACTGTCAGTCAGACCACAGGAGGAGGAGGTTTGCTGTTGAAGTGTGTCAGGCGGTCTCCTCCGCTTAGGGGTCTCGTTGAGATGTGAGCCATCAGTGGGGGTATATTGTTAAGGACTGAGCCAGTCATCCATGGGTGTTGGTTTCCTCTGGAGCTGTGAATCAGTTAGACTCCGTGGAGGTGTGCTTTCAGGTCCCGAGGGGGGCAGAAGCAGGGGCCTCACTGGAGCGTGCGGCCAAGGGCCTGGTGTCCCCTCCCGATAGATCCTTAGAGAGTCTATAAGATACTGGAGGCAAATGAGGAACTTAAGTTTACACAGAAACGGCTCTGTGGCCATCTATCCATCCCAGTGAGCTGGCCAAGAGCTGTGGGCACAAGGATGTAGGTGACCACATTCTTAGGCTCCTATCCAGTTTCCAGTTTCTCACTTTAGGTTCAAGTGGTGGTGATCTTTGTGTGTCCCTAGGACCCAGGTCTGCCGTAACCCACCAAACCCGAGGAGACCTGGCAGTGGGGAGGCGTCCTTTCCTCCCTGCATCAGGTGTGGGAAGAGCTTCCTTTGGCCTGGTGTGTGGTGCTGCTGGGATCCGCGTGTCCCATTGCTTACCCACGCCATGTCATGCTGTCATCTGTATTTTTTAGCTCATTCTGTGACAGCTGATGGCACAAAGGAGCTGGGGTGGAGGCGGTGAGGCCCCTTCCGCCAAGCACAGCCTCTGCAGGGTCAAAGCTCCCCTCCCCTCACTGCAGGTCGCCATTTCACCCACACCCATTGCTTTCTGGTGCACCAGTAACTGCTCACTACCCAACATCCTGCTAGTCTACTGCCCTTGAGTTGTAACAACATGCCTGCCCCAGAGCTAAAGTGTGCTGTGACACTCTTCCATCAGTCACAAACTCTGGGCATTGATGTTGGAAGCCAGCACCGCGGGGACCTGTCCCAAATGCCTTGCAGCGTCTCTGGTTTCTCCCTGCTCGGTGCAGCAGTACCCACTCTGGCGTGACCAAGCGGCCCATGGCTAGAAGCCCCCCACATGCAGGTCTGAGGGCTTCTTTTGGTACCTTTCCCGAGCCTGAGGAGGAGGGCATTTCTCTAGAGTATGAAGAGCAGGGCATGGTAGCATCCGTAAACAGTCAGGGTTTCCACAAGTTCTAGACTCCCAGCATCCTGCAGGCCGTGAATTCACAGAAGTCTAGCCTCAAAGAGCGGTTGTTTCTTTGTTTTTGTTTTTTGGTTTTTTTTTTTTGGTTTTTACGAGACAGGGTTTCTCTGTATTGTTTCGGAGGCTGTCGGTCCAGCCCGGCCTCGAACTCACAGAGTGCTGGGATTAAAGGCGTGCGCCACCACCGCCTGGCAAGAGCGGTTGTTTCATAAGTTGAAAGTAAGCATAGGCGAAAGGACTGGCTTCCTAACCTTTTCATTGTTTGTGAAGTAAAACTTTAAGAAAGTTCTGGGAACATTGTCTGAGAGGCCCAGTTCACAGACCCCCCACAGTGTCCACCTCATGTGGTGTGTGGGGAGCTGTTCTTGCAGAAGGCTTGTGCAGACCATCTCTCCTGAGAGAAAGGCCTCGCAGCCACTGACCCCACTGTGTCTATCTGTAGTTGAGAAGTGTGTTGGTGCTTAGAGCGTGACTCATGTCTGTACCTCCCACCGTCCTGCCCGCATTCCAACTAGAAGGAGGGCAGCCCACATCTGCCTGGTCTTCCTCCCCATTGGCTAGCTGTTAGCAGCCATGGCTGTGCCAAGGGGTCTGGCTGTTGGAGGAGTAGCCTTTGTCCAGTGTGTGCCACCTGCTCCTTGTCGAGGTCCTCACAGATAAGCCCTCCCTGGTGCTGTCACCTCTGTGTTCCGGTGTCTCCTCTGGCTGTCTCCTGCAGTGTTCTAGTGACTGTGCCCTTCAACTGTGGGTGTCAGAAGCAGGCTCCCTGAGTTTGCTCTTGAGACAAGCGGAACAGACCTAGGCAATAAGGTGGACAGCCCCCCTAGAGAAAGCACCATGCTTATTGGCTCCAGCCAATGAGGTCTCTCCCTGCTGAATCTGAATCCTTGGGCCTCTTCACAGTCAGGGGCCAGCAGAACACTAATGTGAGTCATTCCTGAGCTAGGCTTGGCCACTGTCCTGGCCTAGGGCCATGTGAACTCGTGCCTGTTCTAGCTCAGGAAACTGTAGTCCCTGTATCCTTGGGCTGAGAGTTGCAGAGGCCATGGGTTATGCTCTCTAGATTCCGTGTTCTAGCTCAGGAAACTGTAGTCCCTGTGTCCTTGGGCTGAGAGTTGCAGAGGCCATGGGTTATGCTCTCTAGATTCCGTGTCCGGGATGAGGGAGGAGAGGTGAAGGGCAGCAGGCACTCACGCCGACTCTTGTCTCCACAGATGTTTGGGAACTGGACCTTTGGGACACTGGTGTTCACTGTGATGGTGTTCACTGTCACACTGAAGGTGAGTCAGCCATGTGGTCCCGCTCCGGCCATGGCCAGCCTGCCCGCAGCTCTTCCTGAGGGCTTGGAATCCTAGATCCATACTGATGCTGATGCCCCCATGCTAGGTGTCCCGAGCCATCTTCTTCAGTTCCTATCCAGGTCCCAGCAAGTATACACCCCTTGGGACATGCGTGTCCAGAATTGCTCAAAGGAAATGAAGAGCTGAATGCTTACAAAAGCATGCGAATTGAAATTCTTAGTATAATGAAAACAGCTCTGTTTAGTTATATGCCCTTTGGAAAAATTTTTCAAAAACCTAATTTATTTTTGTTTTATGTGTATAGATGTGTAGGTATACCACATGGGTGCCTAGTGCCCTTGAATTCCCTAAAGTTACAGGTGGTTGTGAACTGACATGGGGGTGCTGGGAATCAATCTCTCCAGGCCCCAAAATCAGCCTTTTAAAGTCCAGTCAGATTCTGTGAAGAACTTCATTATTGCAGTCCCAGAAACCATCGCACTGGGTCTTTAAAACTATGAAACAGACTTCTCAAATCATCTTCTCAAGCAGCAGGGTGTTAGCATGGAGGATGCTTCATGCTTGCACACACGTCTGTGTGTACACACACATACATGTGCACACAACACAGGAACCAGAGACCCTGACCATACCAGCCGTTGCCTCCTGTGGAAGCATGGGTTTGGGTTGTTGTGTTTTTTCTTGTAAGCTTTAGCAGGCACTCTAGAGTTTTGCCCTGTTTTTCATGATTTTCTTGCCTTCCTCTCTACATGCCTGGACAATGCCACTATTAACACCTCTGTCTCTTGCAGCTTGCGCTGGACACACACTACTGGACTTGGATAAACCACTTTGTCATCTGGGGGTCACTGCTCTTCTACATCGTTTTCTCCCTGCTCTGGGGAGGAATTATCTGGTAAGAATCCTTAAACCCCATGTGGCCCCAGCTACTCCACACCCCTGTCTCGGAGGGTCCAAGATGCACATTCCGCATAGCCTACGGCCTCCTGCCCTGTGGTGCAAGTTCCTGTCGGCACCTCTGTGTCCCTGGTGTCGTGGTGCATTTTGGGAGCTCCAGCAGACAGGTGGTTCATAGTGTCTGGAAGACACAGAACATGGCAACAGCATAGTCTGCTCAGCACCTAGTGGAGCTCACAGGCTGTATCGTGATGGGGTGGGGTGGGCACCAACTCACGGGCTGTATCGTGATGGGGTGGGGTGGGTACCAGCTCACGGGCTGTATCGTGATGGGGTGGGGTGGGCACCAGCTCACGGGCTGTATCGTGATGGGGTGGGGGTGGGCACCAGCTCACGGGCTGTATCGTGATGGGGTGGGGGTGGGCACCAGCTCACGGGCTGTATCGTGATGGGGTGGGGGTGGGCACCAGCTCACCTTTAATGCTGTCACATGCACCCATACTCAAGTGTCATTCATAGGGACCTGAGATTTACTTTTCCACTTGTGTTCCTTGGGGGCACAGATGCCGTATGGGGCAGGGTAGTGTGGCACATTTTTCTGTGATATTCTCAAGTCCCTCACATGAAATCCTGACAGAAGGACACAGTGTCCCCTTTGGTTGAGGAGCAACGTGGCTAACGGCCCTGGGGAAGGCAAGCCCTGTGACCTGAGCAGGGGCTAGAGAGTAGTGGGAGGAGCAGTCAAGTTTCCTCACTCTGCGTGTGTCCCTGGGTAGGAACAGCCTTAGGAAAGACCATCCTAGCCTCCTCCCTCCCTGACACCCAACCAGAGGACCTTTGTGAGGTCTCCCGGAGCCCTGCAGGGGCAGGAATAGCTTTGGGTGGCCTCCAGCCACCTTACTCTAAGTCAGAAAGCCAGAACTGAGGTCCTAGCAGGCATCAGTGGGGGCCTGTGCTCCTGTGACTGCTGCACCCTCTCTTCTGAGTTGTTGGTGTAAGCAACAGGGAGCTTCCCAGAAGCTCCAGCACATATCTCTGTTCATCCTCACCCTCCCCACACAGCATCCTGACCATCATTTTGTGTCTGCATGCAGTTTGTGTATCCTTGGAAGTGGGGCTTCACTCTATCCCTGGGCTGTTCATGATACCAGGAGGTAGATGGTAATTCCCAGGTCTTGGGTGGAAACAGGGGTCATGGAGCCAAAGAAGCCATTGTCAGCATACCAGGAACCCTCCGTGTTCCTCGCTGTCTCCTTGGGGGGGGGGGGAGCATGTGTTCAAAGCATTTGGTGGCCGCTCCAGCACCGCCATGTGAACCCTGCTGCTGGTGTGAAGAGCACCCTGATGCTGAGGCTCCGGGACCCCCTTTCCCTTTGGGATGGCAGTCTACAGTTCCTTCTCCCTTTCTCCATTGTAAGACTCCAGGAGGCAGATCCACAGCACACGGGAGGGGCTGGTTAGGAACGGAGAAGCCGACAGTGGCTCCTTTGGGGGAGGCTCGGGAAACAGCATGAGGCTGTTCCACCCCTCCTGGCCAGGCAGCGCTCACCAGTGTCTTCTGTCCTCACCCAGGCCCTTCCTCAGCTATCAGCGGATGTACTATGTGTTCATACACATGCTGTCCAGCGGGCCTGCCTGGCTGGGCATCACAGTGCTTGTCACTGTCAGCCTCCTCCCTGATGTCCTCAAGAAGGTCTTGTGCAGGCAGCTGTGGCCCACCGCGACGGAGAGGACTCAGGTATGGAGGCTGCCTAGCCTGGCCAGTCACTTTCCTCTCCCTGTGTAATGATCGGGAAGTTACTGAGAGAGAGCAGAAAAGGTTCAGACGTCATAAAGCTGGCCAGCCCACACGTTGCCAGTTAATTCTACAATGACACATGCTGTGTTATATTAGGTAAATCTCAAGATGAGCGATGTTTAATCGGATATTTAGACCTAAGCAGCCAACTGAAAAGAAAAAGAAATGAGAACAAAGACTAATAAAAAATATTTTCTGTAAATCCACAAAAAATGTAATAATTGTTATTTTGATCATTGAATTAAGGGCTGGTGCCCCGTGATATGGCACCTACTTAGCATATTCCAAAGCTCTGGGTTCATTCCCTAACTTTGAAGGAGGATTGTTATGTTGCCTTTAAGGGGGTTGAATTTGATTTTGGTGCAAAATCACCTTTCCAAGAGGAAGTGTAGGCTGGGCAGAGAGTGACTGTTTTCCACCTCCCAAACCGGTCAGCAGACTGAATCCGCTGCAGGTCCCTGGCACTGGGGTTGCCGGGGGTTCTCTAAGATGCAGACTTTCAACTTTACCCACAGAAGTCTTTTTTTAAAGATTTATTCATTTTTGGTGTTTAGCCTGCATGAATGTCTGTATGAGGGCATTGTACCCCTTGGAACAGGAGTTAGACAGTAGTCAGCTGCCGCGTGAGTGCAGATATAGTCACAAAAGCACATTCTTCCTGATGCCCACATGTGGACAGACTGCCCAGATGCTGACTGGACACTTCTGAGCAAAGAGCTCATCCTGCAGGGTGGCAAGGGCTCTCCCCACAGGACGCCTGAGATTTGCTGTGGTACGGTTGTGACTTCTACTGTGGGATACTGCTTTGCATGAATCTTGTGGAATGGCCTTAGAAGGTGGGTGAGAAAGGGCTGAAGAACTTCCCTGTCCCCTCCATCAGTGAGAAGTCTCCAGTGCTGTTGTGGGATTTGAAGCCCAAAGAAGCATCTTTACTACAAACTGTCCCCAGTTGCAGCACAGGAGGCATAGGGCTAGGAGGAGGCAGGTGTGGGCCTGGGTAGAGAGGAGTGGACCAGTGGATCCTGGCCTGGCAGCACCCAGCAGCTAGGGCAGTGGTGTTACTGTGTGCTAAGATGTTTGCCTATAACCAACTTACCTCTTGTCTTTCTCTCCTGCCTCCCTTACTCTCCACTGCTTTGCCTAAATAACCACTACTTGTTCAAACACTCCACGCGCCTGGGCTCCGGACTGCGGCCTGCAGGCCAGGAACAAGTGCCTTTCTGTTGAGCAGCCCACCGTCTTTATGCTTTCCCAGACCGCCAGTAGTCTGAGTTTCTGACCAACAGGTGACCATCTCTGCCTTCTTGCATGTTGGGGTGATGGCCACAGGACCAGATGGGAAGAACTTAGTGTTGAGGCCACCCAGTACACTCCCTGGTATTGTCATTCACCACCATTACCTCATCAGGTAGCATGGTGACTGTGCACCACCCTTGAGGGGCACACTAACGATGGCCTTTGTCTTCCTCCAACAGAGGCTCACAGCAGCTCTCCGTGTCCATCAGGGGGTCCCAAGCTTTCACCATTGCTTGACACCGGTGGCTCAACCCCTAAGCACCTGACAATTAGGCAGGTCACAGACACAGTCAGTCCAGCCTGAGCAAGGTGACCTCAGCATGACCCTGTTCTCCACAAGCACAGTGGTAGAGATATAGACTTCTTCCAGCATACCCTGCCCCCCTGGGGTGCCACTCTTTAGTCCGGAAACTGAGGAAGGCCAGGAGAGAGTGTCTGCTCAAGACCCCAAGCACATCAGGAGTTGGAGTCACACTGTCCCTGGCCTCTACTTACCAGATCCCTCTTCTACTTTTCAAAATAAAAACCTGTTTATAGAAAACCCCTGTGATACGCTGCTGTTGATGGCCACTGTGGCAGCACAGAGCCTCTCCCCAGGGCCCTTTCCCTAGGTGGCTGCTGTGGCCAGTACCTGCTCCTCACAGCCCAGAAGTCAGAGGAGACAGCAGCATCACATAGTGCTGTGGCATTCTGGCTGAATTGTCCTGTACCCAAATACACCAGCTGCAGGTGCTTCTTTAGTGAGCCTCGGAGGATTAGTTGTGTGGGGTTCCTGCCTCGCCAGGGCTTATGCCTGAGAGACACCGAAAGCAGAAAAAACAGTGGCCATCTATACTTCTTAAACACGTTTAGCACAATGATACATTTCCAAAAAATGGCAACCAAAATGTTTCTTAGTGTCATACGACCCTTAAGTTACATCATTGCAACTGCTGTCTACACTCTTGACAACATTTTGGAGGGAGTTTTTGGAAGACTAAAATGTCAAGGACTTTGTACAATGTTACACATGCCAACTCAGGCTGCAGACACTGTTCCCTGTTGAGGAAGTTTTGTGGACTTCAGCTGCTGGGGAGGTGGCACTGTGGTCCTGTCTCCCGTGGCCCCCAGGCATCATAGAAGGGCCACACATGCACACAGGCCCTGCCCCAGCACTTCACACACAACAGACAGACAGCTGATGCCCAGCAGTGTGGGTCTGCAAAGCTTTGGAAGAATAATTCCACAGGCCTCAGTGGAGCTGATTTGACTTCAGACATCTGGGGTTCACTTCCAACCTGTTCCTAGTACAAGGCAAGCGTGACGGACACTGGTCATGTTATATATCAAGCGTGTATATATAACATCGTGCATGTCTTCGCACCAGTCTCTGCGTCCACACACTTGCAGCAGCCTGCCTGCCTGTGCCTGTGTGGGCAACAGCGCCATCCTCTGGCTACTTCTCCTCCTGGACACTTGCCAGTTCTACCTGCCCTTCTGCCGTCCAGCCTTGTATTCCTTCAACTCTGAAAGCTCCCTCCCTCCTGGGCACTGAGAAACTGGTGAATGAGGACCGGAAAGTGATTAAAAGCTGCGCCACGCCAGGCCAGGAGCCAGCAGCCTTCAGGACATGACCTGTGATACCCTGTCTGTCTGCCGGGCAGGTTGCACGGAAACCACTGCTCCCGTGCCGGTGGCTCCGTAGAGTCGGCAGCACACAGGTCACAGGTGCCCGTGGCAGGGCGCAGAGCTTTACCATTCTGGATGCAACCTCTGTGTTGGGAGCAGGAACTTGTTAGGAGCTACCAGCTGGTGGCCCGCTCCCATGGTGCTGCAGCCTGCCCTTTGACCTTCCACTTCTTCTCCGGGTGCAAACTTCTTCCAATGAACCTGTTCTTCAGAGCCAGCTGTCCCCCTAGAGGAAGCTTTGTGGACAGGCAGCCTGTGGAGCCAGCTCTGGCCGCCTTGATGGTGCTATGACTGATAGTGCAGGCCTGCGATCAGAGCTCCTGGTCTGTCATGATCGAGAGTGTGGGGATGGCGTGGGCCAGTGTAGATGGTGCCCTGGTCTGCAGTGGCCAGGGCGCAGGTACTGGCCTCCTACACTGCCCTCCATGCAGGCAGCAGCAGCTCAGTGTCTTTCCTCACCCTTGCAGAAGAGCGCCCGACTCAAAGCATTGGCTGATGCCACTTCGAGCAGCGACAGGCCCCTGCTGAAGGAGTTCTTACCGCAGCCCAGACGTGTCTAGCCCAACGCTAGGTAACAGTATGGCTGCCTACTGGGCACTAGGCCGGTGTGCTGTGACTCAGACTGTCTGCTTTTCCTTCAAAGTTTTGGTGTGTTGCCCTCCCTTTTTTAATAAGAATGACTTGTTCTAAAAACAAACTATACCATTTTTATATACACACACACACACACACACACACACACACACGAGGTAAGTGGCACACCTAAACACATAGGGGAAATGTTATTCACATGTGTATATATACATACAAATGACATGTGACCAATGTATGCCCAGTGTTGCCTGACAATCAGCTGGTTCCTGTTCTTGTGTTAGACACAACTTCACTTAAAAGCTACTTGGGATGATCCTATCTTGAAACCGGAAGTAAGGTCTCACACAGCTACTACACTGGACACAAGGCCAGCCAGTGTCCAGCTGAAGCTGTTAGCAGAGCACACAGCAGGGGTCATATTGCTCACCTGAAAGTAGTGTAGCCCAGGGATTGTCACCCAGAGAGAGAGAGATGTACGCCATGCAGCTTCTTGCCCTTCCCCCCTGGCTACCTGCTGCTGTTTGTACCTGCTGTGGCCTTTCACAAGAGGCAGCACCAGCCACTGCTGTCTGGTAACTAGGCCAAAGGCGTGGTAGCTTGGTGTTGTCAGCGTGACACTGACCCCCGTCCCTGTGGGCTAGGACATACTAACCTGCACAGGTGAGTCCTCTCCTCCCTGGGGTGATGGCTAGACCTGAGTTCAAGGATGTCTAGGGACTTTGACTACCACACATTCCAGTGGTGACACGAAAGCTCAGTGGTTCAGCCCTTTGTTCCCCTGCCCTGCTATGTTGTTCCTGGAATATGGGGTGACCCCTCTTTTGGCATTCAACAGAGGGTGTTTGTTCCCAGAGCTGCCGGCAAATTGCCTCCGGGCATAGTTCACATGGGATGGGCCCTCTCACCTCCGCTTAGGGTGACCTAGGGGTCCAGAGTAGACTGGTAAAGCTATAGGTAAAGCATCAGCTGTTAGGGGGTCCTCAGAGGGACTCTGACTGATGATGACTTTCTGTTCTTTTGGCAGAACATACAACTTCGGAGCGGCGTCTCAGAATTCACCCCTCTGGCCTCTTTGCAGAGCTGGCGTGCTCCGAGCACCAGACCCTCAGCTGCCCGGTACAGCTCCGGCTCTAGAAGAGCCGTGTGCTCAGGGTGGGAGAACAAAGAGTGCGCCGTGCTCCCACACACACACCCAGGCCTTTCCCACCACACGAGGTATGGGTGCTGTAGGTCCAGCCTGGGAACACCCACTTGATGAACAGACAGCATTCTGTCCCAGCCCCTGAGAGCTGTTCCTGGGTGCCTGTGTGTGCCTGCACCTGCTCCGCCCCATCCTCAAGGAGGTGGCGTGGAACCATGGGTCGCCCACTCAGGCACATCACACTGCATCTGGACCGTGCGTGTGACAAGCACCGTTGCCCTAGACCTGGTGGCCACACAGACAGTTGGGCTATGGAAAAGGACATTTTGCCTGGCTTCACTTAAGCACTGCAGCTGTGAAGCTGGCCTTGCCAGGCCTGAGTGTCCACCCTTTTGCTGTTGCCGCTGTCACCCGAGGAGAAGACCCTGTCCCTTTGTCTGCAGCTGTGTACATCACACACACGCGCCTGGCTCATGTTGTTCCCTGAGGTTCCTGACCAAGTGTTTCCTGTGTAAACCACCCACACTTCCTGTTAGGGAAGTGGCCGTATCAGTCACTAAGAGGCATGCGTCTCCTGGACCCGAGCCTTGCTGTGCTCACATTCACCGCCCCCTCACAAGCCATTTCCCTAGTTCATATCTGAGTCTGTCTGCTGAGGAGACACTGACCCTGCGCGGTGGAGCTTTCGAAGGTGTCAGTGTCCCCTTCTTGCCCCCGGCTGCCTGTGGAAGATGCCATTCATGTATATGGATAGATCGCACTGTTAACCAGGCCCTCAGGAGTGTAGTGATGTCAGTTTAGCTTATTGGAAACTATTTGTTTCGGGGGTACTGGGAAAGGTGGGGGCTTGGGGCACCCAGGCAGGTACTTATCTCACCCGGAGGTGAGTCCCATACCCAAAGCTGATGTGGGCTCACCCGTTCCAGTCTGCTGCTCTGCCTGCCTTCTCTCTCCCCCCCGGCCCCCCCCCCCCGTGCCACACAGATTCCACCCAGGGCTTCCCTTGGAGTGGACAGGCCGCCAGAGGCCGCTGTACTGTGAATCCCTGCTGCTTTCTGTGCTGGCGTTTCTGTTTCTGGTGGATCATCCAGCAGAGCTGTAATGGACCTAACATAGCGAAGATGTTTCAGAAAGTGCCAGCCAGAGCTTGGGGGAAAGCCATCCCCATCCCCGTGGAACCATGCGGTGGGCCTGGGCCATAGTGAGGGTCGCAGACACTTGAGAGCCTATAACCTGGGAAGCACAAATTTTGTACCATTATTATCCAAGGTTTCCCTATAAACAGTGTGCTCGAACTGGGGGACCAATTGACAGGAGGAGCAATTATTGGACCTGGCAGCTGGGGGAGGTCGGGAGAACATGAGCACCACACCAAAGATGGGGGGATGGCCTTGAGCTGTGAACAGACAGAAGAATGTACAGCCCCGCTAAGGGCTGTCCCTGGCTCCACACCCTCATGCCCGCTCACCCACCTGCGTCGCCATGTGTCAGCCCAGGGATGGAGCCCAGTCCACACTAGCCCTTAAACAGTGGTGTGTGCATTTTTACAGCCCTTTTTAAGAACCCCAAACGGGTACAAACCTACAGGGAGGGCAGGTTCTCTGTATGTTTAGTTAACAAATTATTTGTAATGTATTTTTTTAGGGATCTTAAAACTGCCTTTGCACTGAAGTATTTTCATAGCTGTTTCTATGTCTCTTACTCATTTGTTGATGTACGTTCTGGTTTTTAAGTACGCTGTTCAAGCTTTCACTTTTTAATGTAAGCATTTTTGGTCACTTTAAATGCTGGCGAGCGTTCCGGCTGGATGCTTCTGTACCCGAGCTTTGTGATTCTGCTCTGTGCCTCTGCGTTTCTTCGTGTTTCTGGAGACTGACCGGGTGAAGGGCGTTCTGAGGGCATAACCACTTTCTCTTGTTTTGTCACAGTCCTTTGCATTTTCGTGTTTTCTGTTTTGATTTTTTTTTCCAATCCTTCAGCCTTAAACAGAATATTCCCTGCAGGCTCTGTGTTCTGCAGCTCGGTGTGAGGACACTCTCTTGCACCTTACCCAATAGCCTAAGTTTACATAGGACCATCCCAGACTTTATGCACACTCCAGTGTCTTCTAAAATTGTGCTTAGGAAGTTACCAGACGAAGGTGCCTAAGACTTTGAGATAGATGGACAAAGGCATGGGTAAAAACAAGAGACCAGGTGTGAGTGCTGAAGATCATCCACCACCTCACCTCACGGCTGCTGCTTTTTATTTTCCTTAAAGCGATTAACTTCCACTCAGAGTAAACATTTTCTTAATTGCATTGCACATGTCAACATCTGTGACATACTTCATTGGCCAGAATTCATGGTTCTGTCCCCTGCAAGACGTCCATCTCACATATGTACGGGGAGTCCTGGCATCATATGTGTTCTCTTTCTGTTCCACACACACCCATGGACATTTACAAGATTGTATAAGCATGTACACATATGTGCACACACGCATACACACACATACCTGTGCATTTTCCTTCCAGCCTCCATTCTAATAGCTCTGTGCAGAGGTTTTGCCTTCTGGAATCAGGCTACTTACACACACACACACACACACACCTTGGAAGGGTGCTTGGGCTATGCTCACACATGGGCTGTGGGTGACATTGCATTGCTGGGCTGAGCTCTCCCATGGAAGTGCACCTCCCAGTCAGGACCTCCTCTTGCTCCCTCAGTCCAGCAAGCAGGATCCAGGCTAATGGGAGCTGCACACCGCTCTGAGTGTAGGTACCTGCTCCTTGCCACATCCTAGCTAGGAAAACATGCCCCTAAATCCCAGCGATCCATTCCTGAGTACAAGCAGACCAAAGGCCCCACCCAGGGAGCTCCTGGATGGGAGGAGGCTCCGAAGGTCCAGGTAGCAAAGGGGTGATGGCATGGCCCAGGCTGGAGCAGGGACTGTGACAGGGTGACTTTGTCTTTACTGAGCACATTTTCTAGGAGCAGCTGCCAAATGTCTTGCGTGTGTTATCTTGGTGACCTAGGACACTGAGCACCAGCCAGGTGTCTGGTGGTCTAGAGAACGCTACAGCCTGGGTCTCTGAGCCCCCAAGTTCAAGGTGTATCCGCACTGACTGGTACTGAATTCCCATCCACATTTATCTCATCTTGATGTAGCGTGCTGGCAATGCCATAGAACAGCAGGCCCTATGTTCTACATTTCTTTTGGAAGTTTCCCATTTATTACTATAAAGACGGGGGAAAAGTCACTTGGCGAATGCAATCTTTTTGTTTTAAACGCTAAAAGACAGGTGAATAGAAGTGGTTCTGATACTGTGTTTAAACAAAGCTTTAATGAAGATGTGTATGTTGGAAGTATTATGAAAGTGTGATTCTAATTTTGCAGAAAAAGTCTATCAATTTATATAGCTTTATTTTTACCTTATTAAATGATACAGAATTTTACTATACATATATTGTCTGACTTAAAATCATGTGTGTCTGCATTACCACTTAAAATGTCCATTCACAATGTAATGTATGAACAAGAGAGAATCTAAGATGTATTTAACATGAATGGTTACCTGTAGCTGTCATCGTCATTAAGTACTGGATTTGTTTTAAATTATCAAATATAGTAAGTACACTAAACATGTCATTCTCCAACACTAATGTTTAACCGATAGCCCAGTAACCTGCTTTAAGAACTTAAATTGTGAATTAAACCGGATCAAACGTCTCATGAGGTTTATTCTGTGTGCTGCTGATTGTGCCTTTGATTCCTGCGGGCAGTTTTCTCACAAATGTGTGTGGTATTGTGTAAGGTGCACACACTTCTGCTAACAGAAACCTGGTTGAAACTGTAAGCATAGATCTGTTGGGGTCACATTGATGGGTATTTGTGGGAAACAATCTCTTAGCTTTACTGAAGGGGACAAGGTAGAGGTGTGATGGGTACCACACTTCTATCCCTGAGCATGTGGGGGCCATCCTAAAAACCCGAGTGTAAAGCCACAATGACAGCCCTGGGGGCACATGTTGAGTTGACCTAGAACAAGAAATTTAGCGTAGAGCCCCCAGTGTCATGGCCTGCACTGCCCTCCTGTGCAACCCAAGGCTTATCTTGTGCCCCACCTCTGGGACATCTCCCATCCCCCTTATTTTCTGTGAAACTCGGGGCCCAGCAACCCCAGTCTCATGATCAAACAGTTATCTAGCTCCTCCGTGCTATTCCCAGTCCAGGCAGACTCTGGGTGCTAGGTGGGGGGCCTCAAGAATGCCCCTGAGTCTCTACTCCTCTAGGCTCTTCGCTGTCTGCCTGCTCCTGGCCCTGGCACCCTCTGCAGCCGGATGTCCTGGATGCTGATGTCACAGACATAGAACATCGGTGTATTGGGCTCCCTTGCTGAGCATCTGGGCCTCAGTTCTCACCTAACCTTCAGAGTAGATCCCCTAGGAGCCAGGAGGGGCCACGGGGTCAAAAGCCACTTTATTTACTTGAGCAGTTTCTAGTGAGAGTGATTGATCTTCAGGCTTTGGTATGATCCGCTGATGGTCAGCTCCCACTGAGTTCTTGGCTCCTAGCCATTGTGTGGTTGTCCCTGCAGTTCATGGTCCTGAACTTGTGGGACTCTCCCTTTATTGCATCTTGATTACCCCATGTATCCATGGACCAGAGGGAGGACCCAGAAATGCTTTGCAGAGTCCAATGCCTGCAGCCCAGATGTGCATTTGATACCCTACCTGGTAAAGTAAGACTAGGGGGTACCAATTCCCTACCTGGAGGCAGGACAGGGATGTACCCAGCAAGTTTCTCTGGATTCTCCACCTGCTAGAAGTCTTCTGTAAATAAGACGTTCTTGGCGCTATCCTCAACCTTCTCTGCAGACACAGGGCCTGAGCAGGAATCTCTAGCTTTGGGCCACCTGTTTCAGGGTAACTGACACGCAGTCTGACTGATAGTAACATTGGGCCGTGCACTCACTGGTTAACAGGCTAGGGAGTGAGGGACATGGGATTTGCAGGTGCCTGAGCCAGTGCTTCTGCCCTGCCCAGCTCTACTGACCGCTGGGGTCTTGGCTTCTTCACATCGGGATGTTCTACATTAAGCTTGGCTTTGTCACCTCGAGTTGAGTAGCAGTGCAAAGTGGTGTTGTGGGATAGAATATGTGTTTGATTAGGTAGCGGTGTGTTGCTTCTGATTGTGTTGCATTTGCTTAATGTAAAGACGTGTTGCTGTTTCACCTTGCCTGCCTGATGGTCTAATAAAAAGCATTAGGGCAATATCTAGGCAGAGGAGGGCTACGCTTGGCTATAGGTATCAGAGAGAATACGGGTACCCAGCCATCCAGCGGCCAGGGAGCAGCCAGGCGTCAGCTGGCAGCCAAGCAGGGAGCGGCCAGCCAGACCCGGAGGAATTAGGAAAGGAGGACATACAGAAGGTCCAAAGCCCCAAGGCAAAAGGTAGACAAAGAGAACCAGGCTAAATCAATTTATAAGAGCTAGTGCGACAAGTGTGAGATAAGACCACGCATTCAGAACTAATAATCGGTCTCTGTGACGTGATTTGGGGACTGGCGGTCAAAGACAGCCTGCTACACAAAGAGGAGGCCAGTGGATGGAAATCCCAAGGAGCCAAGGCAGAGACCAAGACCAAATGTCCCCCCTGCATGTCTATTGGGGCTTTTCCAACCCCTTATACAGCCTGCGTAAGGGTTGCTCTGGGGGCTCTGGAGTGTGTCAAACTCTGGGATCCCTTTTGGGCTTTCCATTCTCTTTCATATAGCCCATTGCTGGAAGTACTGCATTTTTCTCTCTCAACTGGCCTTTCCTGTATGTGGCACAGACAGGAAGAGATCGTGGGTGAGCATGTGCGGAAGAGTTACATCATGCCAGGGCTTGCCTCTTCGCTGTGTTCCATCCTAGGACCGCTGAATCGGGTCAGACTCTGAGACACTGTGGACGCATCTATCCTCACAGTTCTGGAGGATAGGAACCCAAGGCATGATGTCTGGGTCCCTGCATCTCCCCTGCTCCTGCTTGGGAAATCCATCCTGATGTCTGCCTCTTTCGTCACCTGGCATCATCCCTGGCCTGTGCCCCTAGGCCCCAGTCACACTGTGTTGGGTCTAAACCCATGATGGCGTCACACAATGAGCCAGGGCAGGAGGATCTCTGTGAATGCAAAGGCATCCTGGTCCACATAGCAAACACCAGGCCAGACAGCCCTGGCCAGGCTTACTGGGAACAACCGGTCCAAACCAGAACACCATCTCTTCTCTGGAGGGCTTTGTGCTTTGAGAACGAGCAATCTTGAAGTGAGAGCTCACAAAACACAACCAAACAAAAAAGTTGTGCCTGATGGTGTCTGCAAACCTGAATCCACCGACTCATGTTCCTATCAGCACGCTGGGCCATCTCCAAGCTGATGAGCCTCCGCACCTCCTTGCACAGAGCTGATCTGCCTGCCGAGATGTCCTGAGGACACAAAGCCCCCTGGCTTCTAGGCAGTTGCACCCTGCCCAGGGCCTGGGGTACTTGCTTTGTGCCCCAGCGGGAAAACCAGGGGCTTGCTCCGTGAGTGAATGCAGCAGCAAATCTCCTGGGACTTCCTGTGCCCAGAGAGATATCATACTACCAGCTGAACCTTTCTACTGCAGTGTTAACCAAGCTTGTTCATTCTACACACACACACACACACACACACACACACACACACACACACACACACACACACACACACACACACTTCTACAAAGACCCCTGAACCCACATGATCTCCGGAGCTTCCTGCCTCCCCCTCCTTTGTAATGCTAATTTCCTGCGTCTTTTGCCGGGTGCTCCCGGGGCTCTTGAAGCTGCCAGACACAAAAGGCTTGCCCAGCCTGACACCAGCAGGGCGCTGCTGGGATGTGTAATGCCATGCTGGGCTTTGTCGTTGGCTGCACTAAGCCCCTTGCCTAGTCTCACGTGGGACTCAATAAATGTTTTCGGAATGGCAGAAAGCTTGCACTCAGTTTCCCAAAGCAGAGAGCATCCTGAAGCAGGATGGTGGCCTGGTTTGGCCTGGTTACCAGCAGGTCTGGTTAGGGCTGGGCTGGTCATGTTGTATTCGGTTGAGAGACAGCTTTCTGATCGTCAAGGGATGCTTGCATGGTGGCAGGACGCATTTCCTAGTGATGTGTTTAGTCCCGGGATACCACCTTGTCAGTGGGATCATGGCTGTGGCACTGGCCACTTCCTGTTCTGCACCAGTGGTGACAGCTGTCAGTCCCGCCAAAACTCTATGTAAGGGGGCTGCCGCGCCTGCTGCCAAGCCTGATGACCCGAGTTTGACACACACACCCCACCTCGGAACCTATCTATACAGTGGAGAGAACAGACTCCCACAAGCTGTCCTCTACCCTCACGTGTGTGCCTTGTGCAAAGTTTGGTTTGGTTTTTAATTTTTTAATGAAAAAAAAAAGTGTCCTGCAGGTCCAGTCAGGGCGTTTTGGGGTACGGAAGCCTTCAGGAGGGAAACCCCAGGTCTGCCTCAGCAGCTCCTCCTCCTCCCTGGCCAACTGGAGAAAACTGCCATTGAAGGGCTGGAGAGATAGCTCCATGGGTAAGAGCACTGCTTGTTCTTCCAGAGGTTCAATTCCCAGCACCTGTATGGCAGTTGACCGCTGTCTATAACTCCAGTTCTAGGGGATCTTAACCCTCCTCTGGCCTCTAAGTAGTGCCCAGACACACATGCAGGCAAAACATCCATAAACATAAAATAAAGGAAAACCTCAAAAATAACCTAAACATAAGGAAGGAAGAGAGGGAGGGAGGGAAGAAGAGGGAGGGAGGATCGATCAAGCAAAAGACTCCAAGACTTCTCTCTGTGGTCCCTCCCAAGCTCCCTTCTCCCACAGCCCAGCCTCCTTCCCTGCTCATCTGGTGGGTGCACTCTGCTCCCCAATCCCTTCTCCCCAATACCAGCACCTGCCCCAAGAAAGGAAAGCTTCTGCATTAAAGACGAGGCTGGGCAAGTGCCCAGTTCTGGATGGAGCAGGGTGCTGAGGCTTACCCAAGAAGACTCACCCCAGGAATGACATTCGCACCCAAGAGGAGGGTCCTTTAGTGGTCACCCCAATCCCAGATGAGTGTCCATCCTGTCTACCTGCTCAGCTCAGAGCCATTGCTACCTCAGTGCGTTCAGCCATGGCTGTAATTCCCTACACCTGTTCGGTTTGCCTTATGTGTGCCTCTTCCGGGTCTGTTCTGTCTGTTCAAAGCGGCTCCCGGCTGCTGCCCAGCCCACTCCGCATTCTAAAAGTTTACATCCCGTTTGTGATGATGAATGAATGCCTGTCCTGGAGCCTTGGCAGATGCAGGATCAAACAGTGAGTTCTTTGGGTGTTTTCTCACAGACCTGAGTTTGTCTCGGGGCACAGAGCCCTTCTTGTCTGTGACACTCAGAAAGCAGGGGACGGAGTACTAGGGGAGGGGAAGCCTGACTTCTCGTCTGGGACCAGAGAATGGGGTTGCTTGACCGTGTGGTCTTTCTTGGGGATCGTGAGTACTCCCGTGTTTAGGCGCACCGCCTGGCAATCTGCTGTCTGCAGAAGGTAACTCACGGAACCTCAACAACCGACTGTGAGCGGAGCTTTTCCATCCGCAGCTCAGATAAGAACACCGAAGCCAGAAAGGCTTGTGGAACCTGTCTGAAGCCCGGGGCTTCCTACTTGAGTCAGTTTTTCCAGCTGGAAG